ACACACACACACAGTAATACTGTTCAACCATAAGCAAGGATAACTTATGTAAGTAACTTTCTTACAAATGAATCATTTGTAAGAAAATGGATGCACTTTGAGACCAGAATACTAAATGAAATAAATCAGATACAGAGGTTAAATAGTGCCTGGTTTCCTTTATATGAAATACCCAAAGTAAAAACAATTTAAAGAGCAAAATAAAAGATAGGTGACAGGAATGATGGAGGCAGATTTTGGGGAGTTGAGAAGGGGCTCTGTGGAGCTGGGGAGGTGAGAGGAAAGTAGGGGAGTGGGAAGCAAGAAGGATTCAGATATGATGTGTGTACCCGTTCTTTGTGATCAAATGTACTCAGTATGGATCACAGATATAGACTGATATAGTAAATAGTCTCAAAATTTTACAAATTTAACTGTCACTATTGCTAGTTGGTGCTTTCCTGGCATTTATCCCTTTGATTATCCCTTTGAAAAAAAATTTTTTTTGCAAAATTATTGAGGTAAATTCTTTAACATATTCCTTTTCATCTTTGTCATCTTTTCTGTGCCTGCAGTTAATAACCTATATTTTCATTGTAGGGTCTTTTTGTGTTTTCTTACTTTTCTTTTGTGCACTTTAGCACTCCCAGCTTGCTCTGTTATGTCTTAACCATGTTCCTCTTTCCATTTCCTTACCAGACAGAGGAAGTGTTTCTACAAGCTGCCATATGAGAACAGACATGGCAGGTAGAAGCAGAATACTGGGAAGTGTTGGACCAGGGTGATGCTGTTGAGCTGTTAAATGTTAGTGTGCTGTGAGAGTAATGGTAACATAATTTTCAGCATGAACTACTGATTGGGAAGAAAGAAGCATCCTAAGTAAACCTGTTATTTGAAAAGATGAGCAACTGGGAAAATGCAATCTCTATCAACGGAGATGAGGACACAATGGAAGAAATTTTGCGATCAGATGTTCAGTGTGGAGCACGAAGAGTGCTTTTCTCACCCAAGCTGACAAGTAGAGTAAGCAGTAGGAGGTAAAGCACAGGTGCTCAAGAAGGAAGTATAGGCTGGAGATAAAAATACAGTCCCTGGCACAGAGAAGGATAATTATAAATATGGCACTGGAGAATCAAATAAACTGGTACAGACAAGTGAAGAAGAAAGGGTAAAGGATTGCGCCTTTTTTGAGAGATCAGATTATAGAAGATAAGCCAGCTAAAGTCTAAGAAGGAGCAACCACTGAAGTAGGAGAACATTTGCCATAGCATTGTCTCAGAAGCCAAGGGAATCAAGGACAGGTTATTTTCATTAGAAAATCCACAGTAGTATTTTGAAATTAGTTCACTATGGTACATGTGATCATTATTTATAACTAAATTATACCAATAATCTTAATAATAAAAACATCTTCAAAATTGTCACACAAGGCAGTACCTGCTTTATAATCCAAGCACTTGGGAGGCTGAGATGGAAGGATCACAAATTCAAAGCATGAAGTTCAAGGCTGGTGTGGACCACATAGAGAGACCCTAAGTCAGAAATAAAAGCAAATGAATTACTACTTAGATCATTTCATTGCTCAAGATTCTCCCCGTCCCTGGCCCCAGGCATGCTGGGCTGGCCACTGAGACAGGGCATGGTGGTGCATGCCTGTAAGCCCATCGAGTTGGACTGCATAGTGAGGCCCTGTACCAAATACTGGATAGACAGACAGATAGATAGATAGATAGATAGATAGATAGATAGATAGATAGATGGATGGATGGATGGATGGATGGATGGATGGATGGATGGATGGATGGATGGATGGATAGATAGATAGATAGATAGATAGATAGATAGATAGATAGATAGATAGATAGATAGATAGGCAGATAGAAAAAAATTCTCCCTGGGCTTCTATGTACTCAAAATAACTTGGAGAGGTGGAGGAAAGCTCCTGCAAGCCCCTGGTTCCCCTCCCGAGTGGGCTGCTACCTTGCCTGCTGTTCCTTTGTTCTGTCTCCAGCCATGGAGGGGTGTGGTGCTCGCTCCTGCAGCAATGAGGATTTGTCCATTTCTGCCTGTCTTACCATCAGCTTTTGCTTCATGTACTCTGAAGCTTACCGGGTATATTTCAATTCAGGGTTAATATATCTTCTAGTAATTTGGAAGTGTCATCATTAAACCATTATTATTTTAGTGATTTCTATTTTGACATCTGCTTAATTAGTATTCTCTTAGTTAGTACTACCTAATACGTTCTTTCCTATTCTGTTAATTCCTCCTTGCTTATCTTCTTAGTGGTCAGGTTTGTTTCATAAAAAACAGATCATTCTATTCTGTTAGTTTCTGAGAAAACTCTGAAAACCTCCATCTTTTAATTAATTAATTTTTCTTAATGTATTTGGTTCCGGGTCTCAGTTCACAGCTCAAACTCGTAGTGATCCTCCTGTTTTCAGCCTCCCCATTTCTGGGACTACAGGCACGCACCACCACACAGAGCCTTGGTGGCAGATTCAGCACGCCCAGGGGTGGGGCCGGTGCAGCCTGTGCTGCCAGGGATTGAACTCCAGTTACTGTGCTTACCGAAGCAGGGCTTAGTCCGCTGAGCTATCTCACCAGCCTGAAAATTTTATATATCACTCACATTTATCTCTAAATACTGATATGCTATCTTTGAATTCACATTTATTATCTCATCGCTTTCTAGTTTTCCATTTTCTCTCTTTTAATTTCTTCCTGCTTCTACACTAAAGGAGGAGGTATTATTCGGTTTTGTTTGCCAACTTGTCTCTCATTCCATAGCTTTTCCCCTTCTTTCATAGTGTTTTCAGTTTTTCCTTGAAAGTTGTATACTCTAGCTGTCCAGTCTCACTATCTTTAAAGTTGTCCATGGATATTTAACAGAATTGAATCAGTTAACATCCTGACTGCCTTGTCTTAATCAATGTAAGAACGAAGAATACTTTTAACTAGACCTGTTTTCTTCTAACATATTCATTCCATTATTGCCCAGAAGTAAGTAACAGACACTCTCCTACCACCATGAATTGAATATCATGAATTGGCTGTTTTTGCAGCTTCTGCTTCATGGTGGCTTGGATCTTGTGGTTGTGATCTTTCTTTCCCTCTTGCTGTATTAGCTGGCAACTGGGCCACATTAAGTCTCTCTGAGGGCTCCAGCTCCACAGAGGTGTTCCAGTTTGCATTCTAAGGCTCAGTCTTCTGCTGCAATAGGATAGATCCTTCTCCAACACAGCCTGGCCTGTGTGCTTTTGCTCAAAGGCCTGTGATCCAGTTTGGGGTCATATTTTACTAAGAATAGAAGACCTAAACTTTTTACTGACCTCCTACGATCCAGTAAAGAAAATCAGCCTCATACATTTTGCTCAGCATCTCAGTTTTTGCAGTGAGAGGGCTTGTCTAAGGAACTGGCAATTTTGGACCAACTGTAGGAGTTCTTTCATCCAGTTGGTGAGCGTGCTTTTGTTCATTCTGATACCTTATAGAGACTGTGTACAATGCATAGATACGAAGTAATATCAGGTATAACAATCTGAGCTGGTTGTGGTGATGGCTCCACATTTGTCCTTGGGGAAGGACACTTGGGGAAGTTTCAACCTAAGCCATAAGCTACAGAAGTGTGCTCATGTGTGATGAAGGAAGTCACAACTAAGACATTCTCCATGGACAGGTGCTCTGAGCAAAGGCCTTGCCCTCTGGCCTCCTGTGGTCAGCCCTTGGCTGCCCTAAGAACTCCCCTCTAGCACAATGACTTATGAATATACATATGAGATAGTGACTCACTAGGTTAAAGAAGTCAAAGTGTGAGCATGCCAAAATACAGTTATGGGAGGGATGTAATTTGGGTTTTCAACATTGACATCACTTGTATGGATAAATGCATATAAGCCTTAACATTTTAGTGTACATAATATGTTATTTAAAAATGTCTTCAAGTGTGCCTCCTTTCATTTGAGGCTGTTTTTGCTTCTGTGTCGTCCAATTTGCCTACTAAAGTCTGGTTTGAGAAAATGATAGTAATTATTTTTATTTTTATTTTATTTATTTATTTATTTATTTATTTTTGTGGCTGGCTCAGTTCACTCTGGGGCAAGGTTAGCACAGCATGTGGTGCTAAGGATCGAACTGTGGTCCCTGCACTTGCCTAAGGTTTCCTAAGCAGGTGCTTTAGACCACTGAGCTATCTCACTGGCCCCTATGGCCCCATGACAGTAATTTTAACTAATGTTACCTCACCTTTCTTCTATTTCTTCCTGAGAAACTGGCTGGGGATTATAAAAGACATGTGTTGTTTTTATGAGTAAGTATGCAAATTATGAAAAATTAGAGGATTCAAATTAGTTTATGTAAATGAATAGGAGAATTCTATACAGTTGATTAAAATATATTTAAACATCGCATTTGATTTTCGTATTGTGCTCTGTAAGGGAACTTGTGGTTAATTTTCTAAGCAAAAGAATATTTTCAAAATATATTGGAATCAAATCGGCTTACTTCACCAGGCAGTAAGACATCCTGCACACATTTAAAATAACACCTTGAAAAAAAAATAAAATAAAATAAATAAAATAAAATAAAATAACACCTTGGAGGCTGATACCTTTTATCATGAAGGGTTAAGTTTCTTGGGTTAGTTTTAAGCTTTTAAAAACCAATAGCCAAAATCTAGGGAGGAGAAAAATAACTGAAATCACTGTTTATAGCAATAATTAGATTTCTCTTTGAGTCGTGTACCTTTAAAGCGACTGAATGCATTGCTGTGCAAGTGTCATGAGTGTTTCAAAGATGCCATAATTATTAGACACAGTTCTAGCAGCATGGCTTCTGTACAAGAACCATGCCCTGCTCAAGGTAACAGCCTGAAATAGGCACCAGGTTGCGTGCGCATGAATGTGGCAGCAGGATCAGATTGTTGAATACATTGACTCATCGGTGCAGGCTGAAAATTATGCTTCCCAGCCTCCTGGAAACATGTTTCCTCATTTTTTTTTATTTTTTTAAAATTATTTTAGGATCTGCTTCAAAATACAGATGCCCACAAAACAGCATTCCGTGAAATCTACCAGACCAGGTCTGTGAACGGGATCCCAGTGCCACCTGACCAATTAGAAGATATGGCTGAGAGGTAAGAGAAGGCTGGATTTGTGTGAAGTCTGTCTTGCAATTGCTGTGTGGATGCTGTTTAACCTTTCTGTTCCTTTAAATGGCTCATTTGTTCCTTTACTCAGAGATGCTTATATCTGGTAAATGAAAAGTGGGTCCCCATGGCATAAGCTGAGAATGCCAACATGCTAATATATTATTAACTGCAAAGAGTGATCCTGAATGTGCCCACAGCCTGGGAATCACAGGAATCGTTTCTTCATAGGCTGTGTTTTTATTCAGTACTGTAGGGAACATTATGTAATATTGCAAAAACAGCTTATAAAAGAAACAGATGAGAAATGTGTTGGCAGGGGAGAGAACTAAATCAAAGACTTGAATCAATAATGCTTTGCCTTTCAACCCAGAGCTAGGAAAGGACCGAGATCCCCTGACAGCAATCAGCCAGAGTTGGAGGACCTTGTGGCTGCGTGATATTTATGGATGACATGTAACAGGTTGAGCAAGCGCCGTTCTGTTACTATTAGTTACATGCTGTAAATTTTCCCTGTTTTATTTCTAGGTTTCAGTTTGTTTCCTCCACATCAGCGCTGCATTTAAGAAAAATGGAATTTCTAGAATTAAAGTACCGCCTGCTCTCCCTGCTGGTTCTTGCAGAGTCCAAGCTGAAATCTTGGATCATCAAGTACGGAAGACGAGAGTCCGTGGAGCTGCTCCTGCAAAACTATGTTGTGAGTTCCTGGTGTTTTGGTGGGGCCATCAGACCTGTAGATTTAGCAATGAATATGCACCAGTTCTGTTGATGCTAGTATTTTAATCTTGAATTTAGCTATAGAAATACCAGTGTGTTAGATGGCTTATGTTTAAGATATAAGCTTTTCACATTCATCTCAACTACGAACCAGTATTCTTTAACATTTGTGTTTAGAAATCCCTTGGTTGCATGATTGGTCTTTATTGCTTAAAAAAAAATTATTGTACTATATACTCACATCTATGATTGGAATTTAATTGCCTTATTGAAACTGGGTTACAATGCATAATGATTGTCTTAATGTCTTCTAAAATCTCACTGAGGTTAGCTTAGAACAGTTATTTGCTGTGTATATGGATGCTATCTACTTTTAGATTGTGGGTCCCTTTTCTGGTCATTCCCTAAGCTTCATTGCTTCTGTGTATACACAGGTAGAGTAAAAGTTTTGTCTAGGAATATCTCTGTATCTATTTACTTTTTAAAGATTATGCAGTGTGTGGGGGAAATGTAGGTAATCCCATACTAGATACAATAATAGCCCTCCATTCATGCATCAGGTTGCTCTGTGACCAGGATTTCTATTTACATATGGTGTCATGCTTAAGAAAGGCAATTGATTCCATCAGAGACAATAAGATGTGCCCCCTAGTATATTTGCAATACAAATTTTCTCATAAAAGAAATAGCAATAGGGCATCTCTGTCCTGTACTCTTATGCTTGCTTAAATGCAAATTCCAGATGGCGAGTTGATAAACTTTTAAAATATAAACTTAGTAAAACTTGATTCGTGACAGGGACTCAATAATGGCTGCTCTTAACTATTTGTTGAGACTGTGCCTTTACTCTAGTTTCTTAGAAACATAGTCTTGCTGCTTTTACATTTGATTTTCTAAGTGGTATGTTAACAGCATGTATGTAGAAAAGAAGATTTAACTGGTTTACAGTTAAATTTTTCTCTAGAGTTGGGAAATTTGACCAGCAACTACCTCTCCAAAAAGGTAAAATCTGGTATGATGAGTTATTTTATTAATTTGTCGTTATTTTGGAAAAGAATGCAAATCCATTTTTAAAAATGTGAAGCAATTACATTAACCCCTTGAATATTAAATGTAGATGGATAGGCATTCATATTTTCAGGTTTAGCAGCATCAAGAGATACACTCTGACCCAGTAGTTAATTATACAAGAACCATTCTTTATTCTTACTACTTAAAAACAGCCAATCAGATTTAAATAGCTAATAAGACTGTTTCACCGGGTTAATTTTCTAATACAATGGTGTTAATAATTCTTTTTGAACTTCTCCACAGACACAAAGAGAATTGTTATTAATGATAAAAGCTTCTGTACATCCTGCCTACTCCATAAAGTTAGAGTTTAGAAAGTTGCTGATTTCAAGCTGATCTGTAACTTTCACTGTTATTTGTGAATTCTTAATCACCGTTTATACACAGCATTTTAATTAACATTTCCTAAGATTCTGATCCTCTAGTGAAATAACTGCTTGTCATACATATTTCTTTTCCACGAGGGGTTTGAAGGTGCTTTTTTGTTTGACAGATTTAATCACTGTGGGATAGCACATGTTTCATTTGCCATGCAAGCAGACCTGTAAGCTGGGCATGGTTTTATCCAGTGAGGACCCTGGAGAAACCAGGGCCTTGGATGTCCAAGTCACGTGCTCCGGTGGCACAGTTGGTTTGATGTGGAGTCCGAAGTTGAACCCAAATCTTTCTAAATCAGAAGCTCTGGTGTGCAGATACTGAATTTACTGCCTAAATAGTCTGAATTTTTTGCTTCATAAGACCAAATGACTGATGAAATACCTAACATCCTTGTGAACTAAACAGTGTTGTACACACAAATACTAGTTTTATTTAATAGGGGCCTATTTTGTAGCATTTTATTGTTACGTGTGGTACCCTAGCCATTCCTTCTATCTATGCCCCAGGGGCCACATGTCGTAGGGCTAGAGGAAATTGTTGAAGGCTAGCCAATAGGCACAGAGAAGTGTGTTCAAATTATGGTTTAGGCACTATACCACCCCTGTAACATTATGGATAAATTAATTTTTAGAAGACTTAGTCTTTCCTGAATTTATTTTAAATTTTTTCTTTGTTATGAGTACATGTTTGTGGTACATAATGATCATACTCCTTGCGGGGAGTTGGTGCCTGTACTTAATGTCTTAATTCTGTTTTCATTCTTTTCCTCTTCTTCTTCTTCTCCTCCCCTCCATACCTAGGTCCCCAATAATGAAAATAATAATAATAATAATAATAATAATAATAATAATAATAATGTTTATCTTCTTAGAAAGTTAACTGCCAAGTATTCAAAATATGAAAACACAAAAGTATTTCAATGAATCCTGAAGCACTTTTAAAATATTCCCATCCCCCTAGCCCTCGGACAAACAATGAATCTGGAAATAAGCTATTGCTATTTAAATTCTAGCAAAGTGCTGTTTCCCTAATTGGACAGTAGGAAAAAGACATAAAACTAAGTAAAGATTTAATCAGTCTATTATTTTCTTACTCTAGTCTCAAACAAAAGGGATAAAATTGAATTTATTGAATAAGGCATTAATCTGTAACTCACAGCTTTCTCTATTCACTGTGTCCCTGAAGAATATAAGTAAATGATTTAGAAACATGAAATGACCTGCAATGTATGCTACAGAATGCATTCAACTTTTATCTTGAAGCGTAGTGAACATCAATAAACTCTATGAATGTTTATGAAATCACTATAGAAACAGCTTCACTTCTGTACACAGCCTTTTGTACCTCCATACTAAGCACCCTCAGCCTAGCATACAGGACCTCATCTAGTTTTCAAAGGCGAACTTTACATGTTATAATAGCCATAACCTATCAAGTACTCTAATGGATTCAGAGAGTAGAAACTCATCATTTAAAAAATACTGGAGCCTGGGGAGATAGCTGAGAAGGATAAATGCCTGCCTGATAAGTAGGCTCTGAGTTCAATCTCCAGTAAAATAAATAAATAAATAAACAAATAAATAAATAAATAAATAAATCTGAAGAACCTTTGGTGATATGTTAACTATAATTGTATTAATTTTCCACATTGTGTGTCAGTATAACCCTTAAAAAGAAGATTATTCTCAATTTTGAAATTAGCAATAATAAAATATATCCAAGGGTGTTTCTGTATGTTAATTTCACTGTCTTCGTTTTCTGACAGTCATACATATGTAAATCACACACAGATGGATGGATCTCTATATAGCATATCTTGCAGTTTTTCTATGCTGGGTAACTGAACATGATACCACTGACAGCATGGGTGTCATGCATGACTATTTAGATTTTTCTACTGAGTTTTTATCTTATGGACACCTCACATACTCTGTCATTTATTTAAGATCTGCAGTTCCTCATGGAAGTCACTTACCAGGACAAGCATTCAGAGAATGACAGTCTCCCACAGTTCACACACAGTGGCAAGCTAAACCATTCCTCCAAATTCAGTGCTTTCTAAATATCAGGCCCAAGTTCTTTGGAGAAGGTTCTGTCTTTCCAAACAGCAAATTCTTGGGTGCTGAAGTGGCATATTGTCTCAGTCTCATGCTGAGTTAGAAATGGCAGGATAAAAACAATTTGTATCATCAGAACGTTAGGTTATATGTGGCAGTGGAATTAATTATCTGCTTTCAAGGACAGTGAGGTTGACAAATTTGGGTAAAATTGCCAGGTGCCTTATATAAAATAAAGTTGATTTTGGCATTTTCTGCAAGCCTAATGTTTGCTATTATCTAACCAACCATTTTTCCTTTTCCAGTCTTTTATAGAAAATAGCAAGTTTTTTGATCAATATGAAGTAACCTACAAGATCTTAAAACAGACAGCTGAGATGTACATTAAAGCAGACGGTTCAGGTAAGACCCACTGCAGAAGCTGTTGCAGTGTGGACTGCAGTACAGTTTACACCACACAGGCATCTGTATGAGCAGGTCAGTTTTATACTCTGTGAAAACCTTTTGTGACCATGCCAGTGACCTTGACGAGAACATGGTAGACTCAATGCTCTTGGGTCAGTCATACGAGAGAGAGAGAGAGAGAGAGAGAGAGAGAGAGAGAGAGAGAGAGAGAGAGAGAGATCTTGAAGAGACCAAACAGGCATTCATCTGTCTAAATTACAATTTTCAATTCTAAGGATTAAATGCAAAAAGGCAATAAGTTGGATATTATAATCAAGTAGGTGAGAACCTAAAAAATTTTGAAGACACAATTTGCAAAGTTCACTTATTTCTGGTTTACAAATATGTCTGTTGAGGATGCTCCAGTGGCGTCATCGTTGAGCACATGGTACTCATAGAGCAAATATGGCTGTTGAATTTGTTAGCATTTGTGATCAATGCTATCACGTACCAATGATAACACCATAGGCAAAAGTATAGTGGATTTTAAGCACAAAGTAAAGATTGTAATTTGTCTTCTATGTTTCAGTGGAGGAAGCTGAGAATGTGATGAAATTCATGAATGAAACCACCGCTCAGTGGAGAAATCTCTCGGTGGAAGTCAGGAGCGTGAGGAGCATGCTGGAGGAGGTGATCTCTAACTGGGATCGCTATGGCAACACTGTGGCTAGTCTTCAAGCTTGGCTAGAGGATGCTGAAAAAATGCTGAATCAATCAGAAAGTGCCAAAAAGGTAAGTTTGTTTCATGTAAAAGCAAAATCATGATATTAGTTTAAAAAGGAGAACCTTATTTTTTAAAGAAAAAATAAAAATAATAAAAACAGAGTTTCAACACAGGTTTGTAGGAGAGTTACAATAATTTATACATTGTGTATTGTTGTCTTTGTAGTAGTTATTGAGAATACAAGACATAAGCATGATATTTTGTTCAAACAGTATTAACACAAACCTTTCTTACATCATTGTTCACAAAGAATATTGTATGTTTGTAACTGTGACTCAGATTTCACTTTGCCTGTTGTTCTGTTAAGGTTCTGTTAAAGCACTTTCCTGTCTGATTTAGTGTTCAACAACTGCATATGAAAGAGTAAGGACAGGTCAGTTTGGCAGATCAGCCAAATCTAGCAGGCAGCAGAGGGCGCTTTGCTTACACTCAGGTCTTTCAGGCAAGCCGGGTGTGCAAGGCCCCATTCTGGGTAGATTTTCTAATTCAAGAGGATGAAAAAATCTTGGATTCCTTAGTACTAAATCGGTGTGATAACACACGATTTGAATAGCTGGACTATATTCTTTCGGATTTATCAATCCTTATTCAAGGTTTTCATTCTGCAGAGAATTCCTTTTTCCACTTGTTACTAGAATATATGTATATGTTAGTGTTTATGTCACATGTAAATACTAAATGAAATGAACCGAGTTGTGCATTTATTTCTTAATGGAACCCCAGTATTTTCACATGGAAAATCAACTTATGCGTAAAAGGTGGAAATATCAAGATTCCATAAAGAAATACACTGAGTATGTTAGAATGAATTACTGCTTACCACCCAAGAGAGACTGATCTTTTGTTGATCATACAATCAGGTGCATCCCTTTTTGATGTTTTATCATTCTTTATTCATATATATTAAATATTATTGTATGACTAAGGATGGCATTAACCACGTACTCGTATAGATTTAGGCTTTTCTAATTAGACCCACAGTGCTCTAGTAGGAGTCATGCGTGCCAATTTGACCCTAAGGAATACAACCACCAGAAAGAGCAATGCTTTTATCTTTTTATGCAAATCCTTCCACATAAGCTTTATGAAGTGAAGGCAAAAGATTTATATGATCTGAAGAGAAACAGCGTATGGCTTTATGAAGTGGAGTTTGAACTATCTTTGGTTTCTCCTGTGATACATGTGTGAGCACATGTATTTAATTTGAAATGAGTTCATAAGTGCATATGCTTAAACAAGTAAAGGACTTTATTCTATTAAATGATCTTATTTTAAATACTTAATTTTTATATTTATCTCCAGGATTTTATTAATTATTGATAGTGTAATATATATAATATATATACACACATATATTCAAATTTTTATGTCAAAAGCAACTAGCCCCAAATTTATTTGTTAAATCTTTAAGAAATTTCTCTAAGGTATTACACTTCTTATGGGAGCCTGTAACTGGCATTTGCTAGCCTGAATACTGTGCACAAATCTCTGACACCGACAACACTACATGGGTCATTTTCATTTGTGAATTGGAAATAACGAATGATCGTCATGTTTTGTTTCAGCAAAAGCTATAGCATAAATGTTCTTATAAAAACACCCACAGCTGCACACAGAAGTATACTGCTATAGTCCCAGCCCTTGAGAAGTTGAGGCAGGAGGATCACTTGAACCCAGGAATTAAGGGCCAGCCTGGGTAACACAGGGAAATCTCATCTCAACAAAAAGAAAAAGACACTCAGGATTTCTAGTTCATGTTTTTAACTGGTTAAAATTTATGTTTTGAAAGGGATTTAAACTCTCTTAAAATTTACATGAGTTTTAGGAGACAAATATTTATCCTAATGTGGTCACATTTATATCAGTTACTAATATTTGGCTTATGGTTTACAGAAGTGTGCATTCCTTGTTGTTTAGGATTTTTTCCGAAATTTACCTCACTGGATTCAGCAGCACACTGCCATGAATGATGCTGGAAATTTCCTAATTGAGACTTGCGACGAGATGGTTTCTCGAGACCTCAAGCAGCAGTTACTACTGCTCAACGGGCGCTGGAGGGAGCTGTTTATGGAAGTCAAACAAGTACGTCTTTCAAATCTATGTTCCCTTTAAATGTGGATCTGTTTTAAATGTGGTGGCAAACAGTCTACTGAGAGACAATCTTACTTTCATAGCACGGGCTTATTAAGGCAGAATATAGAAGAGTTCAAAGCTGGTCTTTTTTGTAGCTGATTATTCATTCTTTTCCATTTGTAATGAAAGAGAAGAACAGAAGTGTGAAGTCTGATTAAAGATCACATTGACATATGGCATCTACTTATATGAGTGGTTTGCTTTTCAAATCACAGTTCTTCATTTCTATGCTGGTTCTTTTTTTTCCTTTCAGAGTAATTGGACTTACTTCAAACTTATCTAAAATAAGCATCAGAAATTAGAGTCTTTTTTACTGTATAACAATTACCAGGAATATGAGACTGTCGAAACGAGGGCTGTAGGTTTCTAGCGTCACAGCTTAATGGCTTTCCAATGTTGCTCCTCCTACCTCTCCTCAACAGTATGCTCGAGCCGATGAGCTGGACAGAATGAAGAAAGAATACGCAGACTGTGTCTCTGCACTCTCTCATTTTGTAACGGAAGCCAATAAGAAATTTATTGAGCCCTTAGAAGTCTCTTTTATCAATGTCAAGCTGTTAATTCAAGACTTAGAGGTAAGAGGTGTTCGATCACAAAATGAAAACCTGCTCTTGTGAAAATAAAGATAAGCAGGATTTCCCAGATCACTTAAAAAACAAAAACCTGTTTCCACATCCTCTAAGGAATCACTTTGACAGGCCTACATGGCCCAAATCATGCCTCTCATAAAAAATACAAGTAAGCTTGAATTTTTTAAAAATGTGTTTTGATCATATGAAGTAACTTCAAAGATACTTTTCCAGTTCATGTCTTTCTATATTATGCAACATTAGGAAAAATTACAAAACATTACAAAAACCAGGAGACATCTATAGATAGTGCTTCCATGTGACACTTCAAACAAGAAAGGATTTCTTGGATGAATTGTGGTATTTATACATTCTGAAGAGCATTCAGTTTATTAAAAACAGAAATAGTGGAAGAATATTTAATAACATAGAAAGATTTTATAATACGTAGTTAAGTAAGGAAAGAAACCACACTATCATCCTTTTGTTTTTATGAATGTGGAGATATCCACAGAAAAAAAGCAAAAATGATGTAAAGATGAGACATTGGTTTTGGTTATTCAAGAAACTACATTAGTTTAAATTGTCCTATCACTACCCTTAGTTTATAAGTTTTATGCAAAGAAAACATGTTACTTTTTAAAGAAGATTTATTTTATTTTTAGAATCTGAATTGTCCCACACTATTAACAGAACTTTATTTGATACACTATTTCTCTTCTGTATTGACATATGCTTTGAAAGTGTCAAGGTTACTCCATCTAATCTTTATATTATTTCAAAGCTACTTGGCCATTTTATTTGTATGTAGGGCTATGGAGTGAATCCTGGGCTTTGAAACTGAACTATATCTCCAGGCTTTATTTTATTTTATTGGAAGTTCTTGTTAAGTTGCCCAGGCTAAGCTCAAACACTTGACATACCTGCCTCAGCTTCCCAGAGTGCCACTGTGCCCAAATGCTTCCAACTTTTTAAAGGCAGTTGAGAAGTTTATATTTATTTATGTGATGTTCCTTTCTATTAGTATACTGACAAGGCAATGATCAGAATCTCTTAAAGTTTATTCAAGCATAGAATTTGTTGATGTGTGTATTGATTTTGTTCTGCTTCCTGTGGAATCTTGAAATTGAAAAGAAGGTGTCATGTGTTAATTGAGCTGTGGTGGTGATGATTCATGCAGGACATGGAGCAGAGGATTCCTGTAACAGACGCTCAGTGCAAGCTGATCACAAAGACAGCGCACCTCATTGCCAAAGAAAGCACTCAAGAGGAAGCTAATGAGATGTTCTCGACTGTGTCCAGGCTCAAAGAGCAGCTTACCAAGGTATAGAAATGCCTCAACGCACACCACGTTGTGTGACACCAATGACAGCTTGCCCTGTGCCTCATCTATCCCATGTTTACTTGTCAACAAGTCATGCTTTTGATTCCCAATGCTGTTCCTCATTCGGTGACTGTGTCATTTGATAACTTTGTCATGAGCTTTAGAAACAAAACTATGATACTTGTACCAAATACTATCTCGGTTAGTTTAGAAATTCAATAACTATTTTTATATAGAAAATAGGTATTGCTTGGGGACATTTAAATGAAATAAAATAAGGAAGAGGAAAGACAGAGGGGGGAGGAGAGGGAGGCGATGTATTTAAATGAGAATTTATCAAGATTGAATATAACCAGCATTTCAAGCTTATTTGAATTTTCTGCTAGCATAGTGACAGGCAGTGGAAATCTACCCTCCACACCTCAAAGAGCTCACTGTGGCTTGAGGGCTATCCAAACATGCCACTTCTTCACAGGGAACTAAATGGATACGCACAGTAACCTTAGGGCTTTCCAATTTTATTGAGGGATTTTCTTTAAGGCCTTTAGAAGTTCTTTTGGGAGCTTGTATCTATGAAAACTTGAATTTTAAGAGAATAATATTACTTGCCACATCTACTTAGATTGGGTAATTAATTTCTGGTGAAAGCAAGGAATAGTTAGATAAGTGAATAGAAACATTTTATAATTGGAAAACAAAAGAAAGAAATCTTTATTTTATTTTACTTTTTATTTATTTGATATAAGGTCTCACTATGCAGCTCAGACTCATAGTGATACTCCTGTTTTCAGCCTCCCCAGTGCTGGATTTCAGGCCTGTACCACCATACCCAGACTCGGTCACCACTTCAGCACGCTGCGGGGACAGGGCTGGCACAGCATGTGGTACCGGGGATCGAACCATGGTCCTTGGGCTTGCTTAAGCAGGCACTTAGCCCACTGAGCTATCTCGCTGACCCCAAGAAATCTTCATTACAGAGAGAAAAACATAGAGTCAATAACAAGCAAAATCCATAGTGGTGAATCAATGAAAAGCAATAATGAAAAAAAATGCAAATAGTCAATAAAAAATATGCATTAGAAAGTTTGTTTTCAAATAAGTTTACTTTATCGAAGTTAGAATTATTTGTAATTTAATACTAATGCACAATAATGATAGTACTGGCTACTAGCACTATTTGTTAATAACTCAAAAATCTACATTTTCAATTTGGAGATACTTAACCAACCTGTGGGCTCATATCTGGACCTGCAATTCTTAGCCACGTAGAGCAACTCAGGGCAACTTGAGAAGGCAAATTGTGCCTTTCAGCACACCTTACCTATTGTTTTCTTACTGCTTCTTTGGGTGTAATTCTTTCATAGGTTTTCTATTGCACCCAGGATACACTTGAGTAGATTTTCTTGGTTCTGTTCAATCCAATTGTAGCACAGTGCTATTGGACTAGGGCAGTAATTTTCTTCTGATGCATTAGTTCATCATTCCAGCAATTCTAGGGCATAAAAATGGGCCGGCAGCTATTATTTTTTTAATTCACAAGAGCAAAATGTTTTCCCACAAAAACTTGCATCAAAAATAATTTTTGCACTCTCACTGAGTATACGGCACATTGTTGTCTTTATATTTTTATGTAAAACAAGGAATGGTCTCACCAATAATGATTAACTTCCTTTCCTTAGTTGTCTCAAAGTACTACTTGGTTGGAATAAAAAATAGTAGTAACTAGAAGCAACTGGAGGTAAAATGAGAAAGGCTTGGAGGTGCTTGGAGAGTTACAAGTTCTTGGAATTCAGAGTAAGACTGGTAGGGCACACATTTCATGGAGCTCTTTAACTCCACTAGCTACATCCTCATTATGAAAATGTGCATATGTACTAGAGGACAAGGGACAGGTTGAGCCATTTCAGATGAGATCAGGTGTGCATTCAGTATGCTATGGCCATAGGCAGGTTAGGCCATTTCAGACGGGGGAGACGTCCCCTAGCCTGAAAGCCTCCATGATTAAGTTGGTGTACAACACTTATACTTGGGGTGAATAGGAAGTTGAGAGGCACACTGCAGTGAAACCCAGAGTTGGAGAGATGCGGGAGAGGATATAAAGGTCTGCGACAAATGGGTCAACATGTTTACACATTTATCTGGACACAAGGGTCAAGTCAGAGAGCTTGTGAATATAAAGCCAGAGGACACAGGTCCATGAAGATATAATAATAATCCACGACTGTCTAGGTCAGATTTCAAGACCACGTAAAAATGAATTGCATGTTTTAGGAAGAGAATTTGAGGCCATCTGCCTCACTAACAATCATTTAAAAGGGAAAGTGCTATCCAGATGGACTCCTTGCATGAATTTTCCTTAGAAAACTCCATAAGCACTTGCTTCTCTCATTGACAGTAAAGTTTAAAAATATAGAGGGAATATCAATAAAGAAATGTTCTTAGACATTTGTAAGCACCAAATGACCATGTCACTAAAGAAAATGTGCCTGAGAGCTATGACCTGGATCTCAAGCTTATTAGCACTTAATGACTGTGATGAAACTTTTGTCTTCCTATTTTTAAAGGTCAAAGATGGCTGCTCCCCACTCCTGTATGAGTCTCAGCAGCTGTTGATTCCACTGGAGGAATTAGAAAAGCAGATGACGTCTTTCTATGATGTACTTGGGAAGATCAATGAGATTATAACTGTTCTTGAGCAAGAGGCACAATCTAGTGCCCTTTTTAAACAAAAACACCAGGTAAAAATATCCCTTTCAAAGACATAATTATTTTAAAGCACATTTAATATGATGAGATGTTGTTTATAGTTAGAGAAATTCAGTTAAGACAGAACTACCTTTAGAATAGTGAAGTACTAGTAACTCAAAACAAAAACACACATCTTGTGCGAAGACGAGAGCTTGTCCTATGTCGAATTATTTCCAGGGGGTGCTCAAGCTGGGCACCTAGAGAAAGTGGGCTTATAGGTGTCTGCATCTTGGCTTCCAGTTAGGAAGTTTCCTGATCTTAGAACAAGAAAAGGACCAGTTTGTGTGCAACACCTACCTCTCCCTTCTGTGAACTGGCAGTGTTGTGGCTGACAACATCGGGAAGCCTTTCTGACCATCTGTTCTGTGCGTCCCCACACATGAGTTCTGATTGCCAAGTACAGAAGGTGAAAGTTCACGGTGACTCTCTGAACATAAGCAGTATGTCAGAGAAGGAGAGCCAAGCTCGCCAGCCTGTCTTTTTCATTATTTTTTTAATGTATTTAGTACAGGGTCTACAGGGTCTCACTACACAGATCAGACTCATAGTGATCCTCCTGTTTTCAACCTTCCAAGTACAGGGATTACAGATATACATCACCATGCCCAGTCTCAGTGGCTGTCTCAGAGTGCCCCTGGGGGGGCGGGACCACCACAGTAGGCCCAGGGATTGAACTCACTAGTCTGTCTTGACACAAAAAAAGCACCCACAATAGAAGGAACTTTCAGTATCCTTTCTGCTTTGCAGTCATTTAATTTCTATTATTGTCTTTCTACCAATGAGCAGAGCCCACAAAGAAGATTAGTATAAGTAAATTCCCATTTGTGATTTTAAAAGAAGAGAAAAATACATTTTTTCCATCTTTGTTGCTTCTTTCTACATACAACTTTAGGCATCATCTTCTACCCAACGATGAAATTGCTAATTTCATTTTTAAAAGGATTTGTTCCTACATTTCTTGATTGATTGAAAACATAGGGATTGATGTGGTAGTGAGATAGATAAATGATAGATAGATAGATAGATAGATAGATAGATAGATAGATAGGCAGAGTTTATATGTATGTTCGTGCAATAAGTAATTGATTTTTTTCTATCTCTAATGAGTATCTATGACTTATGTTTTATAAGATCTTTTCTTTGAGTCTGGGAATAGATCATTTCAATCAACCATAAAATTCTGGAAACGTCTTTGGTATGGAAGTCATGATTCATGAACACATCTGCATCCATAACGGCCTCATATTCAGTGTGCCACTGGTTGACGTATCTAGCTGCTTTATTACAAACAAACCCGCCCATCCTATGAGGGTGGAGTTAGTGGAGAGAATGCTGTCACAGCACTCACTGACAGAGATTCGAGAAAGCAGGCAGGTTCACTTAGCAGAAAAAGTGGAGCTCTGAAATGAGCCACAGATATTCAAACTGAAGGTCTGATACATTGTGAATTATGAAACCGTGTTTAACTTTACTATGCTTATAAAAATATGAAGGTGATTATACATAATAATGTACATTCAGTAATGAGTAACATTATTATTTCTATTTATAGTACCACAATGAATATATCACCAAATCTCATTCTGTGACTTATTGCACTGTGTAGTCCTTTATTTTATGATACGATGCCATATTCTACCTTCCTAAGTTGCTGTAAATTACCATAACAACCATGCCATAACTAAAGCAATGCTTTTATTAAGTATTGGTATTTAATAAGAGATTTTTAAATGAAGTTACCATTTTGTCTCCTAAGTCCTCAAGAGGAAAACATGTCTCTGTCCTGCTTTGCAAAACAAAGCAAAAGCCTTGCTGTTAATGTTAACATTTACATTACCAAAAATGGCATCCAAATGAGCAGTTTGACATATTTTTTTCAAAGCTGCCGAAGATGTTGAAATACAAGTGGTATGGATTCAAGATACAAATCTGCCTTAGCTGGACTGGTTCATTTCCCCTCTGCCAAAGTTGCTAGGATACAAGGCTGCCAGTGGGGGTGGGGGGCTGTCAATCACCACTGCATCTCAGACTGCAAATGGGGTAGGTGCCCATCTTCCCCAGACCTGTTGGTTTGATACGTTTTTGGTGGGGATAATGACGATGATCTGAAGTTTACTGTTTCATTAAAAAGACTGATATCTTGGGGAACTATAAGAATTCAAATATTATCAACTTACCATACATAAATAACATATAATTTGCTACATCTGACTTAGTGAAGTGTGTGCTGATGTTAATTTTAAATAGTCTGATTAAACCCTAATATGTAAATTGATTGTGTAATTGTTCTCTCAAAACAACATAGGTCTGTGAACCAATTGGCAGCATAAGAATAGATGAAGAATAATTTTTGATTCGATTCTCTGTCATTCTTTAATGTTAGTAAGACCTGCATAAAGTATACAAAAACTCAAAAAACTCATTTTGACATTTAAATGCCTTATATAAAAAGCACTGACTTCAGTGATTACTTAAAGCTAAATTCTTTAGAAATGTTCCTCTGTGTGTATGATTTTACAGATTGCTGATTGAAAGCCTATGCAATGTTATTGTTTGTGACTACTTTTCCCTTCCTTCCTTCCTTCCTTCCTTCCTTCCTTCCTTCCTTCCTTCCTTCCTTCCTTCCTTCTTTATTTTAATCTCTGTGGTCTAAACATTAGTATCATGGATATCCTTTCTTTGTAGGAACTGTTAACTTGTCAAGAAAGCTGTAAGAAAACATTGACACTCATTGAAAAGGGCAGTCAGACTGTACAAAAGTTTGTGACCTTAAGCAACATATTAAAGCATTTTGATCAAACCAAGCTACAAAGACAGACTGCAGACGTCCATGTTGCTTTTCAGGTAACTCGCTCTTCCTGGCTTTACAGTTGCTAGTTCACAAAAATCCAAAGATAAACACAAGTACGCATCATTTGTTTTTATATTTTCTGCTAAAACACCTTGACTTCTAGTATATGAAGAACAACCATTTTCCTACTTTTTCTGATATTAGTACTGAAAAGAGTTAATAAATTTTATCTTAATGAAATATCTTCCACCCAAGTAACTTTTTAAGCTTAAAAAAAGATAATGCTATCTGACCAAATCATGCTTTCAGTTATGGGAAAGTTGATCGCATTGTGATGACAGTCAGCTCACAGTAGCCTTAGTTTCTGTCTGCAAATTCAACCACCTGAGGTTCAAACATGTTTGGAAAAAAATTTTTTTTATTATACTAAACACATGCAATTTTCCTTTCTTATTATTATTCCCTAAACAATATAGCATGACAACTATTGATGTAGCATTAACATTGCAATAGATATTCTAAGGAATCTAGAAATGACATACAGTGTGCAAGAAGGCATACATTGGTTACACACAAAGTCCAACCCATTTTGTATAACAGCCTTGAGTGGCTGTGGATTTTGCTATTCTTGAGGGATCTTGGAACAACACCTCCCCCCAGAAGATACCAAGGCATAACTGCATTTTTTAATATCCAGAGTATGGTAAAGAAGACTGGAGATTGGAAAAAGCATGTGGAAACCAACAGTCGCTTGATGAAGAAATTTGAGGAATCTCGGGCCGAGCTGGAAAAGGTGCTGCGGGTTGCTCAGGAGGGCCTGGAGGAGAAGGGCGACCCTGAGGAACTTCTGCGGAGGCACACTGTGAGTCTGCCCTCCATGGCTGTGGAACCTGGGGTGTGGATGGGGGTGTTGAAGAAGAAAATAAAAAGGGCATTGTGAACCAGTGTTGGTGGGGGGTAAAGTGGGGTGGAGAAGGGGTGGGCACAGGGACTTGAGAAGTAGATACTTTGTGTATGAGAAACTCAAAGAAACAGTGGACAGAAACTGTTTAAGGCAATTGACTAGCTGACTTACTCGAGATCCTCATAAGCACCTAGAATAACAGAGTCAGGATAGTACAGGTTGTCCAAATTAGTCATTGATTTCCTTAATTCAGAAAGTGTTATATAATCACAAGTTCTATTAAATAGACCACTTGAGGTAAGGGGTCATTATTGACATTTGTTTATTTATATGGTTGTACTGCAGCACATATCCAGGCTTTTTACAGTTTTGTTCTTGTTTATTTTGAGGCTGGGCTCAAACTTGTAATTCTCCTGTCTTAGCCTCCCAGCACAGTGGGATTACAGGCTTGCAGTATGAACCACTGCATCATAGGACTGATGTAGTGTCCCCTGAAGTCTTTATTCAATACACAACATGAGTCACTTCATATTTGCTGTACTTGTTTAAGTAACATTAACACAGAGGACATTGGTGATATATGCAGTGGTATAGAGAGACAATCAACATTCTGAAAATATTGTGTTTTGAACTGTTTTACCTGAGATTTCACTGGCTGCTTGTATAAACCACACTTTCAGGAATGCAGTGAATTCAGGGTACAACTTTCTAAACTCAAGGTTTATGCTTACGATCACAAAGCTCAAAGCACCTCCTCAAATGTATCCATTTCTACAGCGGGATATTTCTGTTTTGAGTCACTGTTGTTTCAAAATTTCTCTGCACGCACAGTCCCAAGTGTGTGAGAGCTAGCCATGGTGCATACTTGTGCACAGGTATCATCTCAGTCCGCTCGGTGGCCATAACACAGTGCCTTCGACTGGAGGCTTCAGAAATAGAAACTTATTTTCTTAGAGCTCCTGAAGCTGCAATTCTGAGATGGAAGAATGAGAATATCAGAGTCCTGGTGAGGAGCCTCCCTTTGGCCAGTATAGGGATGCCTTTTTTCATGCTTGCTTGCTTGCTTTCTTTCTTTCTTTCTTTCTTTCTTTCTTTCTTTCTTTCTTTCTTTCTTTCTTTCTTTCTTTCTTTCTTCTTTCTTTTTCTTTCTTTCTTCTTTCTGTATTGGGGGTCAAACTCAGGACCTTGCTCTTGCCAGGCAGGTGCTTATGCCACTGACCTATCTCCCCAGCCCCTTCTTGGTCTTTCACAGAAGGAAGAGAGCTCAAGGTGTCTTTTCCTACATGGGCATGAATTCTAACACTAAAGTACCACTTTCATGACTTCACTAAACCTAATTACACTGCCATACACAAAGGCCCCGTCGCCAACTACCATCTCACTTGAGGTTAGGGCTTCAGTATATGAATTTGAGGGGCCCCAATTATAATAATATCATATATGTCTCCAGCATGCATCAGAGAGCTCTGGTTCACTCCCCAGTGCCAGACAGTGGGAAGGGCCAGAAAAGAAGGGTTATGAGGCTTAGTCATGGCTTTTATCCTGCTCTCTGACTTTGCCAAAGAAGAACCAAAACTCTATCACTGTAAATGAGATTTTAGGGTCTCCCATTGGCCTTGCAGAATATTTTAACAAAAATTGGAAAACTTCAGGTTTTTTTCCTAAAATGTGCAAAGCACTAGTTAAATGTAGATATGAAGAATTTCAACTCATAACTATACATATTTGTAGTTTATTTCTGGAAAACATAAAAAGAAAGAAATTGCCTGGAAGTTCTGACAAGGATAGCAGATAGTGGCTAGGAGACCCAGCCAGGTGTGCTCATGTTGGTATTGCCTTTTGGTTTTCGGGGAATCTTACCTGCTCTTGTTCTGTCCTCCACCACAGGAGTTTTTCAGCCAGCTCGATCAGAGGGTCCTCAACGCTTTCCTGAAGGCTTGTGACGAACTCACAGACATCCTCCCAGAGCAGGAGCAACAGGGGCTGCAGGAAGCGGTCAGGAAGCTGCACAAACAGTGGAAGGTGGGCCTGGCACCCGGGAGCATGGGGAGCATGGCGTCCTGGGTGAAGGCTCAGAGCACTTGGGAGCTGGAGGCAGGCAGAGCGGAAATGGAGAAATCCATGCAGTGTTCCCATAGCTCCTTCTCCACTACAGAGAAAAAGTGGATGTGAATGAAACATGAGCAGTTTTGACTGAATTATGTTCTTCCAACTTTATGGTAGCATCAGTTCTATCATATTCAAATACTCAGTTCTTTTTGTTTGCTTTGGAACAGATGTGGAAAAGTCATTAATTTATTTAAGCAACCTTAGTGAACTCTTCTTAAGGGAATAAACCATGTTAGGTAAACTATTGATATACATTTTTGCTGTGCTCAAGAATTTTATGATCTCAGGTAGTAATTGACAGAAAATATAAATAAAAATTCAATGATGAAGAAAATACTTCTTTTGCCACAAAGAGCTTAGAGTTCAGTTAGGGAGATAATTTGTTGCAAATAACAGAGGCATAGGGGTTGCCAAATAAGTCGGCAGATTAAAGCACCTGCAAGCAGGCACAGAGGCCGGGAGTTTGATCCCCAGGCCTGGCATGCTGGCCCCGCCCCCTTGGCACGCTGCCCGGGCAATTGAGACTGAGCATGGTGGTGCGCGCCTGCAATCCCAGCTCTTGGGAGGTTGTAAATAGGCCGGTCACTACGAGTCTGATCTAGTAGTGAAACCCTGAACACCCTGTAGACCCTTCCCTAAAACGCACACACAAAAGAAGTATAATATATAAGAAGTCCATATATAAACATTACACTTACCTGGGGCTGCGGAGATAGCTCAGTGGAATAAGTGCTTGCCTGGCAAGCTCAAGGTCCAGAGTTTGATCCTTGGTACCACTAAAAAATAGATATAGATATAGATATAGATATAGATATAGATATAGATATAGATATAGATATAGATATATTTACCAAAGCTTTGAAAGAAGGAGGTGGACCTACCAAGAGAATGGAGAGGAGTGAATAAAGAAACCAAGGTTGAGCTAGGACCTCAAAGAAAAAGCAGAGCTGTAGGCGTAACAAGAAGGGAAACCACAGCAACCGAAAGAGAGAAGGCAAGAGTGGCAGTAAGGCAGGCAGGGATCGTTCTGGGCTCTGTGGGAACAAAGTGTCATGTGCCGGGAGTAACTGTGGGGAACAAAGCTAGTCCTGGCAGGAGGGCCCACTTGAGATGACCTTGTCAGCATCCGTAGGCGGCACGCTGCATCACTGACGTCAGTGGGAGCTGCTTCTTGAGTAAGGACAATGAGGGCTCTCAGGAGGTGACATTTCCTGGCATCGTATAAAAGAGTCTTGGGGTTTGGAAGATTGGCAGCTAAAACTCCCTCCATCCGGTTGTGTTATTTTCTGAATTTTTAAAATCTCAATAACGTGGGCTAAACATCATTCTTGTGTATGTAGGAAAGACACGTACTAAATTTGAAAATTTGTTTCTAATTTAAAAAGAAAAGATTCTTAAAGAACCCAAACATTCTAAGATGGCTTGAAGCTTAGCATATAGGAAAGGTAGAATGCAATGGAAAGTTTTTGTCTTATTTTACGCACACATCCATGAAACTCCATGAATGTCTCCTGTTATAGCCTTTCTAGGGCCCTGTTGGAGTTTTGTCATCAGTCACCTTACTGTTCCCCTTAAACAGAATCCTTTAAGTTCCATTGGACACAAGTTGGCTGAAGTTAATCAAGTAGATCACAAAAATAGTAAGGATGAAGCTTACTCTTATATCACAAAGGAAGAACATAAAAGCTATGCACTGTTTGAGTGTTTGCTTACTTATTTTCTTTCTGTATGTCTGAAGAGAAGAGACACAGCAGTTGGTCAGGTACCCTTGGTATTTAATCCTGAGTTTTGTGCCTACATTAGGAGTTTTTAATAAAATTTTCTCAAGTTTTCCCTTTTCAAATTGGAAATAGCTCTTGCCATTGCTGCGTCACAGGTTGTTAACAAATCAGGAGGGACCCATTCTTGTAAGAGGGTGTGTAGCATCAGTGCACCATTTAAATGTAAGTTCCCACCTTAGCTTTCCCAATTCTTCCAGAACCTTCCTGGTGTGATCTGTAGAAGAAAAACATTAATTTTGTGCAGGGCTATTAGGAAAATTAAACAGAAAAAATTGCTACAAAACTGCAATTAACCTCATCACAGGACTAGGGGCAGTCAGTCTTTAGAAAAGCTCAAAGAACAAGGAGAATATTTTAGTCTTTTTGGCACTTCCATTAGAAATGTACGTCATCAGGAGCATGACTGTGCTTTGCTGGATCTTTCTGTGAAATGCAGGACCTTCAAGGAGAGGCCCCATATCATTTGCTGCACTTGAAGATTGCTGCAGAGAAGAACAGATTCTTGGCCTCGATAGAAGAATGCAGAGCGGAGCTGAATAGAGAGACCAAGCTAATGCCTCAGGAAGGCAGTGAAAAACTCATTAAAGAGCACCGGGTAGGTTTCCCACATCAAGAGCACCATCCCGCAGAGGTGCACAGTTGTCTGAAAGATAGAATGGAGTATATCTTTAGTTTGAGTGTAGAAAAATAGTTCACTTATTGTCCAGGGTTAGTCTATGGGAATCTTCTATTCGTTTTTCTATGAAAATGTAAATAAAGGTGTGATATGGTTTGTTGTGGAGATTATAAAAACATTTATTGCTTATTAGATTTTCTTCAGTGACAAAGGTCCTCATCACCTCTGTGAGAAAAGGTTACAGCTCATTGAGGAGCTGTGTGTGAAACTCTCAGTCCGGGATCCAGTAAGGGACACACCAATGACCTGTCACACAGCTCTCAAAGATCTCAAAGCTGCCATCGAGGCCACCTATGCAAAGCTGGTGCAAGACCCAGACAAGTGGAAGGACTATGCTAACAGGTGACTTGGGGCTTGTCTCCAGGGAAGGATTCAGTGTCCTTGAGTCCGCCTAGTTCGGAGATGATTATGAAACAAGAAATGAGAAATCTTTCATGTCATGCCATAAAAAAAGTCAAATTGTCCAATCCCACCTGTGTTCTTGTACAAAAATGCTTCATTTATTTAAAATGATGAGTTTTAGTCAGAAACAGGGTAAGCTGATTCAGATTTTCTTTTGGGGGCAGCATTCGGCTAATCCCTTTTTCCCTGTTTGTCTCACCACCCACGCTGAAGAGTGCAGCATCTGTTTCTTTGGTTTAGTACCTCATCATGGTGGACATGGTTGATGGACCTCAGGCAGTCCCTTTTTTTCCAGAAGCTCAGGCCCTGGAAAACATCTTTGTTCTCAGCTCTTGCCGAGTTCCTAAGCTCAAAGGTGGCCACCCTTGCTCCAACCTTTATGTTATAAGGTTTCCAGAAAAATGTGTGAATCTATTTGGCTATCACTTGATTTTCTCATTTCCGTGTGTACATTCATTAAAAGAAAATATAGTCTCACCATTCTGCTATTTTCTCCCTTTCATAAGGAAATGCTTGCATTCTTTCAGATTTTCTGAGTTCTCATCTTGGGTGTCAGCCAAGGAGACACAGTTGAAGGGAATCAAGGATGCAGCCATTGGTACTGCCAATCTCAGCGAGGTGAAGTGTGCAGTGGAAGTAAGTTCTGGGCCATTGCTACTAGGGACAACTTTCCAATAATAATAATAATAAAAAAATGTTGGGCAGTGTAAACGTTCATTTTTTCTTTCTCTAAAACAAATTGGTTTCTGAACTTTGTTGTAAAAATAAGTATCCCCTTATTTCTGTGGAGAATTCTAGGTTTTTGGATTTTTTTGAATTGCTAATTGCTCTGACAGTGTCATGTCCCTTTGTATCTCTTGTGTCGTTAGCTAATGCTGAGAGAAAACTTATATGCATGGGGGTGTAATGCCATGGATTTGAGAACTGTCACAGAAGACAAGAACACTGTGTACTTTTGTGCAAGTTTTCAGCCATGCTAAAGCTAGGTCACAGAATAAACAGAGAATTGGGCAAGACCTGTAAGCTTTCTTTTCCTGTCCTATTCAGTTGGGGCTGACTCAGTCTTGGCCTTTGTGAGCAGAGGGACAGGCTGATAAACCCAGCCAGAGTGGCAGAGCCTCAGACCTGCGCACAGCTTGTGTTCTGTGAGAGGCACTCAGAGATCCTTTCCCTCTTTCCCTCTCAGCTTGGTCTTGATTTGTAGACACAAGCTATTGTGAAAACTCTCTCCTTTATTATTTTTAACCCTTGCTGGCCACACAGCTCCTGTTAAGAAAAACATTCTTTTTTTTTCCATTTCAATCCTCTAAGTTCATTTTATTTCCTATTAAATTATATAATCTCCTTAAATGCTGGAGGTCGTTAATACATCCTACTATATATTCAAAAGGATGTCATTTACTACTGGTACTATCATAGTACCAAGCATTTCACATCTTATAAGACAGAGATCACCTTCTTCTGGAGCCACCAGTTTCCTGGCTGGCTTACATTTATCGTGAGACAGTCCTGGGCACCACTAGAGTTTGGAAACCACTGCCCTGGCCTATTCAAAGGGACTGTAGAAGGCCTGGGCTGCTCTGTGACCAACCCTGCAAGCCTGAAGGCCTAGAGCTGTTTCAGCATTGTCTTGGCTGGTAAACACTCCCAGCTTACATTAGTGTTACAGTCCTCTGCATGCAAATCAATGTCACAAAAGGGTATTGTTTTCTAAAAGCTAACAAAGATGAGGCTGTGTGCTGGGGATGGTGGTGAACCCTAACCCTAACCCTAATCCTAACCCTAATCTTAGCAACTGGGAGGCTGAGGCAAGAGGATGGGCTCTAGGCCAGCCTGGCCTCCATAACAAGAGCCTGTGTCAATAAATAAATAAATAAATAAAAATAAAAAGCAGGTAATGTGTGTTAAAGAAGTTTTAGTGTGTCCATAAAAAATATTCAAGAAGTAAACTCTTCAGTAAAAGAAGTTAGCTAACATAAAATAATGAAATATACGAAAGGACTATCATCAATTGTCAAAAGATACCATGTTTCATCCAGCTCATGGAAAGTGAGGTAATAAAATAGAGAGCTGTAATTCCTAATTTTGGTAGCTCGCATTCTTAGTACCACTGGAAGCACCTTTGAGGATACATTTATACAGATCTAAATCTAATCATGAATGTGACGTTTTTAAGTGAAGACAGCACTGATTTCACACATTAGCTTTCGGCCCCTGGCACTTCCTTCTTTTTAGCATTTGCAGACTCCTTATAGCAAAAAAAAGAGTAAAAGCAGCAATTGCTCTGCCGGCAACTGAAGGGGTCTTATCTCTACCTACAGACTCTCTCAGGTGAAGTCCTTTCCTGTTATAAGGTCATGATTCACAATTGCACTGTGTTCTCTCATTCCAGGAGATCAGAAATGATGTGACCACAAAAGGTGAGACACTTAGCTGGCTGAAATCCAGGCTCAAAATTCTGATGGAGCTTTCTTCTGAGAATGATGCCCAACAGCGAGGAGACGAGCTGGCAAAATTATCCAGCTCCTTCAAAGAACTCACGGCTTTGCTGTCTGAGGTGGGTCAGTTCCTCACTCTACGTAGATGATTTTCTTTCCTTTGGTTACAGTTTCACAAATGACTTGATAAAGTGACTGTAGTTAAAATAGTTTGGCAAGAATGCTTATTTATCTGAAAATTATTGGGCAAGATAAGTAGAATATTTAAATTAAGTTCAGTATCATTTTTTAAAATTTGTTTTAATGAGAAATAAAGATGTACTAGCAATAAAACAGTTTCAAAATAGGCTGGTAGGACAGTTACAATAATTAATATGTTGCATATTGTCTTCATAGTAGTTAATCAGAGGACAAGATGCAGACATGATCTCTTGTCTAAACAATATTAGTACAAACTTTTGTTCTCAATGAACTAAGATAAACTAGCTGTATATCTATCTTAACTCTCTTGTGTATATATATATGTATGTGTGTGTGTGCATTTTTTTCCTCTTTATTTTCACAACAAAACAGTCCTTTATTTACACTTTTGTGAAGTTAGTAGCACATGACACTAGGTTGCCTAGCAGCTGATAGCTAACCTTAACCAGCCAGGATGTTCATCTCAGGACTGAGGTAGCTTGTTTGCTTTAGGCACTGGGCCAAGCCCCACCTACACATATTTGATCAATTTCCTTGCTTTCTGGCTCCCAACATATCCCCCTTTTTCATTTTGTTTTGTCAGAGATGAGTGTTCCACTGCAGTTAGAGAAGCTGTATTTGGAGAAGTCTTTAAAGGACCTTTTCATACTTGAAGCCAGTCTAAAGATTGTAGGTACTTAAATTCAGCAAATAACCCAATATAGCCCAATAGTCCATAATAGTCGTGGATTATCAGCAGAACTCGCAATTGTCAGAAGTTGTTGACTTGAGCCTTTTACAGCTCAGCATATTAAAATGGCTCTACTTTTTATACTTCATGGTTATACTTTTCTGCTGGATGGTTAAGACCAAGTTAAAGCAAGACCTATATAAATAGAAATGTAACTTTTGTATCTGACAAGGTCAGTCAAGTCCCCTCAGGATTTACCCTGAAACTATGGACAGCACCTTGTAGATCTTTTGTCAGTGTCAGCCATCTGGATGAGTCACAGTCATTGCTTGACAATTTGCTCTCTGTGAAAGCCTGAGAGCATGTTTTCTCTCCATATGACTCTTCTTAGGCATACTACACATCATTGATCACTTTCCTCTGTGGCCCCATAATCTCCTTGAACAGAAAATTTGGGACACAATTGAGTTACAGGATGTCACAGTACAGGTTCTGCTATGTCCTGAGTCCTCACTCACCTTGAAGGGCTCGGGCCAAAATATTGGCTATCCTTGTAGCCCCTCTATTTCTCTAATTTTTGGTCTGCAAACTTTAGTTGTTAAACACCCAGAAGAGAATCTTAATGATATTATTACCCTGTAACAGCGTCAGTTGAGCTTAACATCACTGTCTGTCTGAATATCAAACCTCTTATACATAACAGTGTCATTTATTGAATGTATCACTTCAGGTTAATGATCTATATTCAAAGTCTAAAGCTTATCCATCAACATTTGGTTTTGTTTTTGACTCTTGCTAACAATATATCAATCTATAAATTTTTTTTCTGTTACTAAATATAGTGCTATTTCTTTGTCACTCTAGGGTGTATCTTAGGGTTAAGAATAAGGTTGCAACTCAAATAAGGTTGGGACCCAGTCCCAGAGATTAAATCTGATGCCTTACTACAAACTTGAGTCTGTTTGAGCCCATCTCTGGGCTCTCCTTTTCTTACTTATAAGATGGGATTTTAGAATACTTACCCTGGAACGGCAATGACAGGGATTAACTGTGTTGATATGTATAAAGCCCTTAGTGTAGTGCTCGTCAGAGGGAGTGCTTGACAGCTGATAACCAGTACTAATAAAATAGTCAAGAAAAATATCCAAGGGCTGTTCAGCAGGCCAGAGAAAGCCTTTTAGCCAATCTCTATACTTTAGAGTTTAAAATATGCAATTCAATTTTTATGTAACACCTTTATAGACTAAAATGTGCCAGTCAACCAATTTAATTTATAGTAGGACCTCTTTCACCCTCCGTTATTGAATGTTTCGTGAATTTGTGGGAAGAAGATACTCTATGAAGTTAAAGTAGAATAGATATTTTTCAGTGTTTCTTGACATTGTGTATAAATGTCCATGGAAAATGGTCTTCCAGCTGACTGGACAATGTCTGCTGAGCTGTCTACTTCTGAAGGACTAGAGTTCTCTATGGACGTTCCTGATGATTTGGCTGCTAAGCTTTTATCATCTTAATCCAAGTGGCTAGATCTGCGTGAGGTTGAAGCAGTGAATTTGCACAAGCACAAGGGAAATGCTTGTGGTTTCAGGTTTATGTGAGAATTCTGATGTAACTATGGTTTTCTTAAGAATCTGGGACAAATTTAACATAGAGATTTGATTCATCAAGTTATAGAATATAAGCTTATTTCAATCCTTTGATGGTCTACATTTTCACTGAAATGATCAAGTATAGTTAGTCACCACTACCAGGCTTTAGGAGAAAATTAGATGTTCATCTTCTGCTCTTTCCTTAGTAAATGTGGTAAAAATAAGGATAGCAGTCTAAAAACTCAGTACATTTGTAAAGGTGATCTTTGGGCCAAGACTTAGCAATCAATTTTGATAACACAAATACACAAATTTATAATGTATTTGTCCCCAGCCCACTCACAAAATATTTGCAGTAAGTAGTAGTCTCTATAGCATTTTAGCAAGGCCATTTGCTTTACCTTCCAGTTACTTTCATAATGGTGCTATCATTGAGACTCGTAGTCACAACCTATCTCTAATAACTGTTTAATAAATAGACATTAATTATTTGTGTATTAACCTATCTTATACTTCTGTGTAATTTATAGTCGTGCTTTATTTTTTTTTGCTAATCACTTACTGAAAGCAAAAAAGAGGCAAATAAAGAAGACATATTCTGTTCAAGTTGAGATTTATGTAAAATGAATTTTGTAGTCAGTTCCTTCCTCTAATGATAATTAGTTCAATATTTAAATTAAGGCTGAGCACAAAGTGTTAAATGGAAAAAAAGTCTGTAGATAAAGTCAGTGTGCAATGAAAAGTCACTTTATTTTCTGTATTGGGGATTGAACCTGAAGCCCTTGCACTGAACTACTTCTTCCCTACTCCTTGTTTTCGTTGTTGTGTAGACCAGGTCTCACTAAGTTGCTGCACTGTCCAGGCTTGGCTCAAACTTGTGATTCTCCTGCCTCAGCAGGACAGGTGACAGGCATGCACCACCATGTCTGGTTGGAAAGGTCACCTTTTTTTCAATAGCAGAGATGATTTGTGCTGAGATTTAGAGTTTTCACAATTCTTTTATTGCTACTTATTTGAAAAACGGCATGCTCTAAGTTATTTTGGATAAAGTCAGATCAAAAGGGAATCACAAGAAAAAAATAAGATAAGAAAAAAAGATAAACTATAAGGGCTCAATGGAAGATAAATGTTAAAATATTTGAATGGTAAAGATGGAAAAAAATTAATGAAACCAAAATAGGGAAAGCAGAAATCAGATTTTAAAAAGTTGAAAATTCAAGAAAACGGCAAGAAAGAGAATCTAATAAAGAACCACAAAATTATTGATATTTTATTTAGAAATACCAGAAGGGCATTTTAAACAAATACTTTTTGTTCTCTACAAATGCTTTCCTTATTTAAATGGGATGGACTCAAGTTTCTTGTAAGGTACTGTTACAGTTAGGCACTAGTCATGAGACTATAGTTAAAGGAATCCGAGAGACGAGACAATATATAGAATAGGCACAGTTTTATTTTCCTGCTTTGACTGCCCAGTAGAATGGGTTTTGTTTGTTCTTTTTCTCTTTTTAAAATGGATTTTAAATGTGTCACAGGGCATCAAATCAAACTAAGTTTGCAATTCCTGTACGCAGCTGCACAGTCGGGTCATCATTAAAGAAGCCTCAAAAATATATGAAAGAATAAAAACTAGAAATCTGTGAATATATTTCTAGTTACTGACATAAACTTTCTATACATTCTTAAAAATATCTAAGACTAGGTGTGCTGAAATAAATATGTAAGATTATGCAAACTCAAGGGGGTAATGTTGCTTAGAGGGTTTTGATCAAAGGTTTGGCAATCAAATGTGCAACATGCTGTCTACACTTAATACTACTGTGCTGTGTGCTTGAAATTTGCTAAGAGAGTAGAATTTAATTGCTCCCCCTCTCACAACCGCATACAGCAAAGAAATCATGGGAAGTGATGGACAGGCTAGTTGCCTTGACTGAGGAAGTCACTTCACAGTGTGTATGGCTATCAGAGCATTACACTGTGCGCAGTAAATATTTGCAACGTGAATTTATCAGTCTTATCTCGATTTTGGAAAAGCTGACATTAACCTCACTCAATTGTACCGTATCATTTTTTTTTCATGAAAATATAGGTTGAAAAGATGATAAGTAACTTTGGGGAATGTGTTCAGTACAAAGAAATAGTAAAAAGTTCTCTTGAAGAATTAATCTCTGGATCTCAGGAAGCCAAAGATGAAGCCGAGAAGATCTTAGACTCTGCAAATCTGTTGGAAGCACAGCAGCTGCTCCTCCACCACCAGGTAGAAATGCGTCTCTAATGCATGTGTGTGTGCTGATCAGTTACTGGTGGAACCAGAGAGAGAGAGAATATGACTTAGAGCTTGGGCTGGGGAGGGAGGAGGGAAGACACCCCAATCTGGTTGAACGGTTAAAAGAACTTGGTGCATCTTCTTCCTGTGCTCGCTGTTAAATATCTGTTCTCTCTTCTCTTAAATATCCTGCAAGACAAATACCCAGACCAGGTGATTTGATGAAATCAAGAATTTCAAGGCAGCCAAGGAAACAAAATAGATTAGCTATGAAAATGTGGATAAAGTCCACTAAGTCATCTTTTTCATAACAGAGAAGAAAATCATAGGGAGACAGATTGTTTCATATTTGAGATAACTAAGCTCTTGTCATTATCTTAAAATATTTTCTTAATTTACAACTTGGAACCCATTTTAATGTGGAAAATGAAACTTACTTGAATTGAAACTAGAAGTAAAGGAATTCATATAAATTCACATATATAATTCATATATATATATATATATATACATACATACATACATATATAATGTTTGGTGTTAAGGAATCAAGTTAGTGGCTTATGAATGCTAAGTGCATGCCGCAGTACTGTGCAATGTCCCCAGCCCCGATAATAAGCAATTGTAATCAACCTGTTTTATTACAGAAGGGAATTGGGCATTATAATATATGCATAAACAGAATTAACTACTTCTCAAACAATATAAAAGGAAATATGACCTCAGTAAAACAGTGTGGTGCTAAAATAAGTACCTTTATCTGTGGTAAAACAAGGCAAATTTTGCACATATGTAAAAATCAAGAATTACATAGAAAGTACAGTATGGTAAAATGGCCTCTAGGCTTCATAGATTTACTTAATAATTATAAAAAACTATATAAAAATATAATTTTTAGCATTACATTTTTTCTTTGCCATTGTGAAAATCTTACTTAGATTCCCATTTACTTTAAGTCAGACAAAAATAAGATTCCAGATTCTGATCACAATATTTTAAAGCTCTGTGCATATTTCTTGGACCATGTGCCTCTTTCTGTGTGTGTTTGTATACTTCATGAAGATTCAGGAGCTATAAATTTGAGAGATGTGTACCATTCTTTTGAAGATTATATTTCAGTAAAATGTTTTCCTTAAAACACAACTTTCTATCAAATGTGTTAGGATGCGTATACCAGTCAGCTTTCCTCCTGCTGAACAAAGATCCCTGCCACTCACAGTTCAGAGGAGGGGAGGCTTATTTGACTCACAATTTCAGAGGGCTCAGTTCATGGCTGGTGGGCTTCAAGGCAGGATCACAGCGAAAGGGCCCTGGACAGCTAGCCACCTCGCGTTGTCTTGAAGTAGAGTGGGGGACAGTATCCCAGGGGAAGGGCAAGGGGTGAGATGAAGTCCATTTTCTCAGGTGACACCTCCAAGACCCACCTAGATGCACCCAGAAACGTGCTTTACTAGGTAGCTCTTACATCCATCAAATTGACAGGCCAGTTTAACTGTCACAAGAGTTAATATACCAAGGACATACAAACCTCACAGTATTTGCATTTGTACAACATTGGTGATGAAACTAGAGTTCAGACTTTGAATTTTAGGCAGAAAGTTATTAAGGAGCATCACATCGAATAAATTGTTTTACACATTTTTGAATATTCTTTTGAATGTTGTCTAAAATACTAAATGTCCAACAAATGTATACACAAAATATTAAACCTAAATTATTTATATTGTTTGCCATTAAAATCATGGAATGTTAATAAATAATGCCTACTTTTGATTAATGCACAGCCTCTCTTATTACTGTTTTAACTGTTAGCCTTCACTTTAAAACACAGTTCAGGGCCACAATGCCATGAGTTCATGTCTTTCTCCATTGCATTGAGCTTGAGTAGTTGTGACCCTTCTTACTGAACTAGAGAGTAAAATTTATTCCCATCTGTTAAACACCTACTTTCAGCAAAAGACAAAGATGATTTCAGCAAAGAAGAGAGACCTGCAGCAGCAGATGGGGCCAGCACAGGAGGGAGCAGGCGGGCTGGCTGACCCGGGCAGGGAGGAGCTGCAGAACCTGGAGAGGACCCTGGCCAGTGTGGAACACAGCAGGGAGAGGCAGGAGCGTCGCATCCAGGTAGGGCTGCATGGACAGAAGCTGGCTCAGTGAAGGCCAGGCTGGACTGAGGCCTGGTTATACCTCCCCAAAGAAGAGCAAATGTTGGTTTCAGCCTCTGCTGCTCTGACATTGGGCTACATAGTTCACAGGCGTGACCTCTTTTAATCGTCACATCAGCCTCATGAGGTGTGCCCCATAACCAACACATTTCACAAGTTTGTTGCTTAAGTGGAAAGACTGTGCGTTCTGAGTGTAGTTCAGTAGGAGGACACTTGCCTGCCATCCATGAGGCCTTGGGGGATTTGAATGCTAGCACAAAAAAGAAAAATAAAGAGCAAGAAGAAAATGTTTGAGAGTTTGGTCTGATGTCACACAGCATCAATGAATGGTAAAGCAAGGTTTAATTCACACTTGTCTAACTCCAGAAATTTGATCATGTTGTTTCACTTTTTTGGGAAATCCAGCACCCACATTTATGCTGTATTGTGATATTGATTCATTCTCTTTAACAACACTGAATTATGGACACTTTGACACATTATTTTAAAATAGCTTTTGAATTTGGCCAACTTCTCAGTTCTCTCTGTCTCTGTCGCTCTTTCTGTCTCTCTACTTCTCTCTGTCTCTCTTTGTCTCTCTCTCTCTGTCTGTGTGTGTTTGTGTGTCTATCTGTTTGTCTGTCTGTCAGTCTATCTCTCTCTGTCTCTGCTTTTTATAGAGATGGAAGGTTTTTTCTATTACCTTTTGTTTTTTCTATACCACTACATTGATTGGCTGTTACAGCTGGTAGTGAACTAAGCAATCTAGTCTGTGTTGCTTCCTTGGGTAGATGAAGATATTGAGATCCAGAAAGAAGTTCTTACAGAAGACACTAAGATCATCTTCCTCTCGTGAGACTGTGAAGTCTGAACCAAGAGCTCGCTGGGAGTCGGCAATTTAGAATATGAATGAAGATGAGGCAATATCGTGTGCTATCCTTTGGTAATTTACAGCATGAAATGTATACATATTTCTTTTCACACTTAGGTCACGTTAAGAAAATGGGAGAGATTTGAGACAAACAAAGAAACAGTGGTCAGATACCTTTTTCAAACAGGTTCCAGCCACGAACGCTTCCTGAGTTTTAGCAGTTTGGAAAGTTTGTCTTCAGAATTGGAGCAGACAAAGGTATATTAATGTGACTATATGCTTCCTTAATGCTGTATTTGAGATAAGAAAACATGATTTCTGCTTATATTAATATATGAACTCATTTAAACAGTATTTATGATGATACACACTTTTCAACAGTGGGAAACTAAAACATAAGTGGGATTAAACAATAGAAGCTAAGATAAAGCTTTTTGTACAAGTGGAGGAATGACAGTTCCATTTCAAAGACATAGATTTTTTAGAATCTGGAGGCTGTGGGGCCGGGGAGATGGCTCAGTAGAACAAGCACTTCCCTGGCAAGCTCACGGGCCTGAGGTCAATCCCCAATTCTGAAAGAAAAAAAAAAAAGCAATCTGGAGGCTGTGATACTTAAAACTGAACACTAAAGGGCAGGCACCACTTAGAAAAGCAGAGTTTGGAGCAGATGCAGACATGCTCTCCTGCGAGGGAGAACAGTGAGTGCTATAAAAGTGCTGGACATGTGGATTCCACTCTGGAAAGTGGAAGAAGACGTAGTTTTAAAGGTAAGTTAGGCAACATCACAGTGTCTCCGAAAATCTAAAATGATATCTTCTAGACAACAGAGCTAAATCTGTTGAAGATTTTAAAGAAGGGAAATCAGACCACTCAAACTCTGCTTAGAGAGATGAATTTCTAAGCAGGCATAGAAAATTGATGGAAAGAGCAGAAGACTCAGGTCATGGAATTCAGTGAAAAAGTAATTGCATATGGCAGTCAGTGTGGCCATCTGTAAGAGTAGTAGGGGCAGCATTCAGCACATGGAGACAGATGCAAAGGGTGACGTGGAGCTGGCATGCAGCAAGATAGGACAATAACTGGATAGAATGAAGGAAAGAAAATGAAACTCGAGGTTCTGAGGCCTTGGAGATAATGCATGTCATGGGAAACTTGGAGTTGCTCGCCACGAAGAAAGATGACCAACCCAGCTTTGGACATAGAGAATTTGATACATCAGAGAGACAACATGTGACACTATTTTTTTGTCTGCTCCACACTACAAGCTTAAACACATTGGGCCCTCAGAGAAGCCCAGTGTATTTGTATGAAGCATTCAAAGTTGTTCAGTCCTTTGTGGTTACTCTTGTGCCTGACTAGGGATTATAGACAAATTGGCTAAGCACAGATGTGGATCAGACAGTGTGTAAGAAAGAGGTTTGTGTACATTCTTTCCCAGCCTTTAGCAAGGAAATCTCTCTGCTTCTAACAAGTAAAAGTTTCTTTCTCTCATACTGCTATTTTTTTCTCTTTATTAATTGATTGAGGAGTTTGAAGTTTTATAAAGCCCCAGACTCAATTAAGTGAAATTTTCATCAGCCATGTAAATAGAGTATTATTTTAATCATAACTTTTCATCTTACAGATATTATATATTAAAATACAACAGATGACTTTTATAAATAAAAAAGAAATGTCTTCAGGTTAATTTTCCTATATGTTTCCATCCAGGTTCCTTTCAGGGTCTCCAGCTCCATTTCTATCAGTCTCTTTGGATCAGTTTGACTGTCAAGGGAACAAATGTGATCTTTTTAGTCATTATCAAAATTCTTCTTAGCCCATGATCTTCTGTACTTTGAGATTCATTTAATATGAAGTAGCACTTATTGACTGTATACTATATGCTGGTGTAACTCTTGATGTTTATTACCTTTTATCATCCTCAGAATAAATCTAAGATGTAGATCTGAATAGTGATTCATTCTAATAAGGACATGTAAGGCACAAAGTTGTTGATATACTTTTCCAAGAACTCTAGATCACTATGTGGTGCAGTTGGGTTCAAACACATGAGAACATCTCAACCCAGAGCGCACACTCCAAGCCACTACCTTGTTTTCATTCCAAAACCCAACTCAAGTGGAATCACAGACACTGACACATAAGCATATATAATCCGGAATAGCTGTTCTCTCTTATTTTCAATCTTTGTGTTGCACCTTATTCCAGCTGACAGCCCTAGAGTAGCTGTCTAAGGTACTGGAATGTGTCTGGGGGCCAGTGTGTGGGAGGGCCTGTCTCACAAGTCATGCTCCATCTCCACAATGGGCCGTGGCTTTACTGGTGAGGAAATGAAAATTTCGAGCTATGGGCCTCAAGGACTAAGCCTGATTTCAACTCTAGAGCTAATGCAAGTTAGTTTTTGTCTGTACATATTTCTGCCACTCATGTATCTTCTTCTTAAGACTTAGGGATAAGGCCTTATACTTGTTATATTTTTATTTAATTTGATATTTTTTATGAATGTCATTCTGGTCTCTGGATGCCTGAGATTGTAAGATTGAAGATATATAAGCATTTTCAAATCGTGCTTTCTTTGTGGTTTTTCCCTGAGTTCTGGAAAATGCTGTTTTACACTTTGGATTCTGTGTATGGGATTCTGACAGGTGATGCTGTGATTCACAGCATTCATAACTGAACCTACAGTCACTATAAAATAGCAGATATTAATAATGAATGCTTTCAAACACAAATTTAATGTTATGACATCACGAGCTCTCATATTTTGTGGTGCTATAAATCTCTGCACAAAGCTTTACTTACTCAATTATGTTCTTTTGACTTGCAGCCTATTTTTTTAAGTGATGTTGCTATTTCTATGTGGATATTAAGTCTTCAAACAGAAAGCTATAATAGTTGTCTATTACTCTATTTCTACAGTATTTGCAATGATACTGGGAGATGCTTTAATGAAAAGCTGGCATTTTATAAATATTTACATTGGATTTCTACAGTACCCACTGAGAAGAATGATCAACATTTAAAATTCCTAGGGCTGAAGAGATAGCTCAGCAGCATAAGCACCTGCCTGCCTAGTGCAAAGTCCAGAATTCACTCCCTAGTACTAAGAAAAAAAGAAAGACAAGAAACCATTGTGATTTGTTTGGGGCTGGGGATATAGCTCAGCAGCATAAGTGCCTGCCTTGCAAGTGCAATGTCCCAATTCCTCTGAGATTTCTTACATTTAAAAAAAAAGAAAAGAAACTCCATTTTTTTATTCAAGACTATTGCTGGAGTTATCTTACCTAATTTAATATTCAACATTATTTACCTAACAAAATTTGGATAGCATGAGGTTTACCAGTGTCTCCTACACATTAAATTAACTTTTGAGTTAAAAGTATAAAAATGATAATTGGTACCTGCCAGAGTATAAGGCACTTAAAAGTGAATTTGCTAATGGAAAGCTAAGAGAACTTTTCAAGGAAAAGCATTGTAAGTTGCTTTTTATAAAGAAAGAGCCTAAAAGTAATTTAACAAATGGAACAACATGATCAACAGATTCAGAATCCCCACGTAGGTGCAAGTGGTTCAAAATTTACTTTCTTCCCTGACTGTTGTACATGCACAGGAAAAAATAAAGTCTAAGAGAATTAAGACTAGATTGTATCCCCTGTCAGAGGACTATTAAACAAAGTGTTTTTCTATGAGAAACATCATTACTATTCTTCACTTAGAAATTCTTCAAACAATTATTTCTCTTCATTGTCCTATGAACCTATCGTCTCTATGCAGTCAGTTACCACGGATCATTTTATGACCTGGCCGGTAACACATTTACATGTTTATAGCTAAGTTAATTATTACAATGCAGCTCAGAATTTTAAACAATAAGACAAAACCCCAAAACAGTGCAGAAACCATTTCTGTGAAAATTGTTGGTAACAATGAAGGTAGGAAGCTGGTTATGTATATAAAATGAAAAACAAATTAGCAAAGTGGTAACTAAAAAGGGCATGTGAAAATAAGTCAGGGTTATTGTTAAAAAAATAATGTGGACCCAGTCCTACATTAATTCACTTGTCTATCTACATGTCTATGCTGGGAGGAGACTATGCACATATGAGATTTGCTTCAAGGTGGAGTTAAAGCGTATGATCTTTTTTTCTAGGACTTTTCTAAACGGACAGAAAGTATTGCCGTCCAGGCTGAGAACCTTGTAAAGGAAGCTTCAGAGATACCACTTGGGCCCAAGAATAAGCAGCTGCTTCAGCAGCAAGCCAAGTCAATCAAAGAGCAAGTCAAAAAATTAGAAGACACACTTGAAGAAGAGTATGTGCTTCACGAGTCCTAAGCTTTCTTCTCTGAGATAAAGCTCATTACAGGCTTTCCTGTGTCTTGTATTCAAAACAGTCTTTTAAAAATCTCAAAGTGTCTGTGTATTTCAGCATGTCTTGAGGAAGCAACTTACAGTTCAAAAAATGGGGGGATCTTCAACACAGAAACCAATGTCTATAGCATTGCAAGAATATATGAGAGATGGGGGGTTTGCATCTTAAACTGATTATGATCACAGGAAAGCCATATTTATTCAACTCTGTGGCCTTTGTACGCTAGTGAGAGAGTATCAAAACATAACTGATGTTTAAAATAATTTTTATCATATTGTTCTGCTGTTGCCAGTCAGAGGAAAGGAGAGCTATCCTGAGAGTACAGATCCTAGGTCTAAACATGCTCTCGTCATGAAGACCACGTGTCTTCACCTCAGAGCTCCCAAGTTTGTTCACAGTGCCTCAGTATTCAAATTGCCATGGATTGTTACACTAGCTCCAGAGATGAACTTCAAAATGTTTCTTTTATTTTTCAATACTTAATATTTATTCATCTAAAAATAACTATTTGACCTATTAATGCACTGACACAAATGTATGTATATATGGGTATATGCTATACATATGAATTTTGCAGGAGCTAAACTTATTAGGACATGGCCAGAAATTCTTCAAAATAATACAGATAAACATTTCTATTTAGGGCAAATCAATGACATGTAGTTTATTATTCTTACAAAACAGGGTATCATTTCTAAGATGAATTTTATTTATTTTTTTTAATTTTTTTCTAAGATGAATTTTAAAATGTAAAATTTGTTTTTAATACTCTTAACATCTTGAAATTTATAATTCATATTTGTTTAAACTTTAAAATCTGATATTTTATTTAAAAAAAATTTTGACTTTGTTTTAAGTCAGTATTTTAAGTATTTATATTAATAATACTCTCCAAACAACCTATGGAAACAGTGAAATTTAGAGAGGAAAGGAAATTACTTCCATTAATAATTTCCATTTCAATCTTTATTTTATTTAAACACTTGCAATACAGTATAACATGGCTTGCATTTCCAGTAGTGCTGAGAGTATTAGGCATACCCAGGTATAAATTTGAGACTGTAATACTGTTTAATTCGACAATCAATAATTCATTATATTTTTCTTCACGTCTTCAAGTGCCTTTTGGTAAACAAAAACATTTATTTATTGTTTTATTTTTAAACCCAGGGACATATCATTTCAATGATATGCTGATTATCTTAGTCTTTCTCTAAACTGAAAGCCATATTCTTGCTTATATATGCATAACTAATATAAACTGAGCATGTGGAGTTGAAATTTTGTTCATTAGATTTGATATATATATAAATATATATACATATACATATATATGTATATATATGTATATGCATATATATAAAGCCTAAAGTGTCTAAAAGGAGACCAGCGCTCATGTACAAGAGTTTGTGAAAGTCTTTGGAACCCATACAGTAGGACATCTGTGAATAGATGAAGTCGTAAGTAATAGATTAAAAGCTTAGCTGTCAAGAGGGGAGCCTTTCCCACCTGGAAGCATGGAATTCAGACCCCAATCTCCATCTTGACTCATAAAAACCCATTTATAAAAATCAGCATAAAGCATTACAGCAGCATCTCCTCCTTTAACAGAAAGAGGAACATGTCTATAAAAATAGGACTATTAAAAAGTGTGCACTGGAGTCCTTTCTGGCATAATTTATAAAAATAATCCCTGCCAACTACTGGTCACATGCAGAGTTTAGTCTATACCTGATTCAAAAGCCTTTGAACCCAGCAACATTATTCCAAAGTCTAGTTCTACCTGCAGCACAGCAACAGCACTGTCTCCCTGGGTTCTCGTTCTCAGCAGTTAGGAAGACCTGAGGCCTGAAGACTGCTTAGATTGAGTGTGTATTATTGTTCTATTCAAACGTGTTCAACCTTGGAGATCACAAATGTCCTCAGTATCTTTGCACCTGATAATTTAGACGAAAATGTGTTGTTGTTTTCTATTAAAATACTGCATTTTTTACTTAATTTGGTTAATTTTAGTATTAAAACCATGGAAATGGTGAAAAACAAGTGGGATCATTTTGGCAGTAATTTTGAGACCTTGTCCATCTGGATAACTGAGAAAGAAAAAGAACTCAATGCCTTGGAAACTTCGTCAGCTGCCATGGACATGCAAATCAGCCAAATTAAGGTGACCTGCTCACGAGTTATATTTATAATCTCTGTCTAGTTTTTAAGAACTTTCTTATATTTATTTCATCCTAGCTATTTTGTCCCAGGACAAACTGTGCATTGCTGTTTGACTCTATTAAAACTAAATTCAAGGACCAGTGAGATAGCTCAGTGGACTAAGTGCCTGCTTAGGCAAGAGCAGGGACCCGTATTTGATCTCTGTCACCACATGCCATGCCAGTGCCATCCCGGTGTGCTGAGCCAGTGACAGAGTCCAGGTGTGACGGTGTATGCCTGCAATCCCAGTGCTGGGGAGGCTGAAAACAGGAGGGTCACTTTGAGTCTGAGCCACTTAGTGAGACCCTGTACCAAATAAGTTAAAAAATAATAATAAAATGAAAATAAACACATAAAACTCAATTCACACAAAATACCAAGCTAAGAGGTCTTGATTAATAACAATAACACTTTATAGATGGAATCATGTATTAATATTGTCTAATTTATGCATTCAAGTCAATATTGTGTGCAATATCATTAAAATATTTTTATGGTTACATTATTCTTTTCCTTGATTTTGAATTAACCCACATGGAGATCTCTGTTGATTCATTTATACAACATGAAATGTATTCCTTATCAACAACTATCCTTTATGAGAATTAGCCTAGTATGATGCATTTAGTTCTTTAGGAAAGATACCTCAAAGGGAAGTAGATAAGTCATATGAAATTTTTAATTTTAGTTTTCTGAGAAAATTCCACTCTGATTTCCACAGTAGTTCTATTAGTTTCCATTTCAACCAACAGTGTTCCTTTTTCATGGCAATGCAAGCCAGTGTTTATTATTTTTTAACTTCTCGGTGGTTACTATTCTTTCTGGTGTAAGATGGAAACTTAGCATTGTTTTCATGTACATTTCTTGAATGATCAGAGATATTGAACAGTTTTTCATCTATTTCTTGGGCATATGTATTTCTTCTGAGACGTGTATGATCATTTCACTTGCCCACTTCTTCACTGGGTGTTTCATTTTCGGTGGTCTAATTTTCTGGAGTTCTATATGGGTAGTCTAGATATTAGTCCTCTGTCTAAGGAATAGCTGTAGGTTGTTTCTTCACTCTACTAATTGATTCCTTTTCTGGGCAGTAGCTTTTTAATTTCATATGCTCCCACTTGGTGATTCTTACTGTTATTTCTAATGCTGTTGTGGGTCTGTTTAGAAAATCCTTTCTTACACCACTGACTTCAAGTGTTTTCCAGTAAGCTCAATGTTTCTGTTTTAGTGTTTAGAGCTTTGATCCATTTTGATTTCAGGGCAGGGATATTAGTAGATGGTGAGAGGTATGGGTTCAGCTGTAATCTCCTGCAAACATCTTTTCCAAGCACATTTGATGAATAGGCAGTCTTCCCCCTGACATCTGCTTTTAGCCTCTGTTACATATCAGATAGCTGAATGTCTGGGGATGCTTTTCTATCCTCTATTCTGTTCCATTGCTCCACACAATCTCTCATTTGAGCAATGAAAAGTACAAAGAGCATAATAAACAATGGATAGAAGGAAACCAGATTGCTTGCAAATGAGAAGGGAGCAGGGGAAGAGGGGAATACGTAGAATTAAGATGTGCCATGTACAGGAGCCCAGTAACCTCAATGAACATAAACATTATATATCATAAACACGAGCTAAGAATAATAACAACACAAGTGAAATGGGGAAAGGGGATTAAGAGGCAGAGGGAGTAAGGTGGGTGAGAAAGGAAAGGAGGCTAAAAAAGAAAAAATATATTAAGTACATGCATCTACTCCCCAAGATGAATGCAAGCTTCATGGGCCTAACACAAAACAAAGCAAAGCAGAACAGAACAGAGCAGAACCCACCCTAAACATCTAGCTCCACTGTCAGTGCTGTTTACCCTCACCAACCACAAGGAAGAGCATGGAAAGTTGCTCTCTGTAGGAGAAGCCAGCAGACCTAGTTGCTCTAAAGTTTGCATTCCTGACTTTCAGTTCTAGGTAGAGATCCTCTGATACATTATCTCTCCAAGTTCCAAAATAATCATGTAGAGCCATTATTATTGTTCCCTTCACTCAAACAGTTTAAGATAAATGGACTGAAAGAATTGGGTTGGGACTATGTGTCTCTCTTACACAACAGCACCCCATAGATTTTCAAAAGTTGACCACTTCTTTTTCTATCTGAGCTTATTCTTCTTTTTGGAGAGGGAAACCCTTTGCCATTTCAGCCTATTAAATATAGTAAAAACAAATGCCAAGACAGGAAACATTTCGCACTATGACTCAGAAGAAGGTTCTGCTGTGTGCAGAGTGGGAGGGCCCTGTGCTGCTCAGCTAGGGTCACATGCACCTCTGCAGGCAAAGAGTCACAGAGCAGGGTGCACACAGCTGCTGTGTCTCCTGTGGCGCCCCGCACAGATACACACCGGTCCACACAGAGTATTCGTAAGATATTTGTAATCTGTAAAATCATCTTGAAAAGCCATCATTCAACCATTTCCACGAAATTGTAAGAAAAAAGGACAGCATATTTAAGTAGTGTTGTCTCAAAATTTCTGCTCTGAAAAATCAGCATATACTTTTTTTTTTCAACAAATAATACACTGCATATATTCTTCTTAGTGGTTAATTGCTGTACAAGATGCGGACTTGTGATCCTATTTACAAACACCATTAGAACAAATCATTCTATTCATTAACAGAATGTAACTATATATCTATCCCAACCACTTGGAATACACAGGTACAAAATGGACATTCATCTTTATACCCCATTTTTTCTAAGTTCCGTTATTGAATATTATAGGTGTGTAAACTCAGCAAAATATTCTAAAAGAGTCCAGAAGCCCATAATAGCATTGGGTCTTCTGTTTAACTGGCAATGTCAGAAATTATTGACCTGAGTCCCCCACAGCTCAACTTAACAGCATGGCTTTATTTCTTATAATTTCGTCTTCAATCAGCATATACTTTTGAATTTATCCTTTCTACAATTCATTTGCTTCTATTTCAGGCTTTATTCTGGAACCTCTGAAATGTATCAATCATCAAATGTCCTCTCATTGTTATTCTTTAAGAAAAGTTACAGCCACATGTTTTATTTTTAAATATATAAATATTCAGTTGTGGATGTCCTTACCCTCAGGCTACAAACACATTTCACTATGTCTGAAGTGACATTTTGAAAATAGTCTAAAATATATTAAATGAATATGAATACCAGGAAAAAGGTTCTTACTAGAAATAAATAAAGATAGAGTGGGATACACTGACCTGTGGAATTTGGACTAAGAGACTCTATTTCCAAACAGAAGGCTACCTTATAAGAAAAATCAAATTTATTAAAACAATGTATTGCTATAAAGATAAATTCCCTAAATCCCTTTCTGTTCATCATTACATACTACTCTAAATAACTTTCTTTTTCTGGATCATTCGCTGCTTTCTTCTCTTCGGTGAGTTTTTTGTCTCTTAGGTTTCATCAGTGCATGTCTGCAGTTTGCATTCTTTGGGCGGAGTTGGTATGTGCTCACGACACAGCTCCACCCTCTCTTCACCCCCATACCTGCTGCACCTCTCCCTCCACCTCTTGGTCCTTTTCCCAATGAGAAAGTTTCCCAGTGAGAAAATTCTGTCTCCATACGTCCTTGTTTTTTGCTCCTTATATCTTTGGATTCTTAGATGAATTTTTAAGCCAGAATCCAACAATCTGACTGTGTGGGTTGTGGTTCTGAATTTACTAATGACAAGTATTACTCTGAGAACTAAAAGATTTGTTCTTAACTAGTGATCTCACCAATGTCTTTAAGGACCTAGCAAAATTTCTTAGTAGACGCTCAATATGTATTTGTTGAATTTTCAAGTAAAAATTTTTTAAGGCAAAAACAAGACAAGTTATACTTGGGCTCAAACAAAATCTGCTTTTCATGTATACCACAATGGCCACACATTTGAAAAATAGAAAAGGAAGACATACCTACCAAACAATCTGATACTGATTTCTGATAGTTTTCTTTAGCTAGAAGTGACAAATTTATTTTTCTCCCAGGGTAACAATATTTTCCATGTACATTTTTGGAAATTGGAACTTAGCTTGAATTTTTGACATTATTTTGGTAGAATGGTTTGCTTCTTTTCCTCAGAGAAATAGTTTTAATTCTCTTATACAGAAATAAGCTGTGTGTTTTTGAGAAGCACAGCCCTCCCCACACATGTGCTCACATCCTCAGTAGGCAGTACTTTTCATGACCAGCCTGTATAAAAAAGGACCTTTCTGCCTCAACTAAAGCAATACTATGTAGGCTTTTTATCATGGAATATATAGCAAATAAAGAAAGCAGTGGAGTCTCAAGCCAGCCACAGCAACATCCCATGTGAATTTGTTGGAATTTAAAAGCTTGGGGCTCTGCTTTAGACTTAGTATGCTGAGCCTTGAGGATTAGAACTAGGTATCTCAATGCACTACACTATATTTAGAAACCACTGGCACAAAGAACAGGCAACACTCTTCAAAAGAGTGGCTCTGGATAGGAGTACAATCAAGCCCTTCTAGGGGCCAGAGAGATGGCTCAGTGGAATAAGTGCTTCCCTGGCAAATGCAAGGGCCTGAGTTCAATCTCTGGTTCTGAAAAAAAAAAAAAAAAAAGCCTTTCAAGTTCAGTGAGATATGAAACACTCAACTACATTTTAGAAAAATTGAAGGAATACTAACATGAGCACTCCCGCTTTTCCAGATTTGTTGATTAAAATGCTTGACTGACAAGATAGGAAATAATTCTATATCTTCAGAGACATAGAAATTCATAGGGACACTTCCTCCTTTATTCTACTGCAAATAAAGGTAGTTGCTTCTCTTTCTTCGCTACCCAACAAGTACCAGCAGGGGCAGTTCATACCCTGCCCACACTGCAATCCCAACCTTCCCAAATGCGGTTGGGAAACATGGTGCGGGGGGGGGGGGGGTTCTGCTCATAGCTGCTTTCCACCCCTCGAGCTTGCTCAGCCATCAGCTGAGAAATGTTCTAGGTTTTTCCTTTCTCTGTAGGCACTTAGATCATTTCCACAAACAACCTTGCTCAGAATACATCGCAGACTTTCTTGTTTTACATATTAGGTCATAATTCAAGAGATAGAACAAAGAATCAGCAGCATCACTGGATTGGAAGAACAAGTTCAGTGTTTTGCTCAGTTTGTCACCACTGGGGAATCTGCTCGAATCAAAGCCAAGTTGACACAAATAAGGAGATACTGGGAAGAACTCCGGGAACATGCACAGTGCCTGGAAGGAACAATCCTTGGGCATTTATCTCAGCAGCAGAAGTTTGAAGAAAATCTTAGAAAGGTAAGAAGGGGATAGTGCATGGTAAAATTGTGTGTTTTACATATGTTTATAAATACATGCATTAAATATTCCACAAATAGTACCATAAAGAAAATGGGCAAACTGCATCAAGTTCTCAATAACTAAATTCATAATTATTATTAAATGGCACTTTTGGTAGATATAAAAATGTCATTATAGGGGCTGGGGAGATATCTTAGTGGTCTAAGAGCCTGCTTGGCAAGCACAAGGACCTGGGTTCAATCCCCAGTACAAAAGGCCATGCTGGCCCCAGTATTGTTACTGGCCACCAAAACTGGGTGTGGTGGTGTACACCTTTAATTCCAGTGCCATGGAGGCTGACACAGGAAGAACACTACGAGTCCAAGTTGCATAGTGAGACCATATGCCAAATAAATAAATAAAAGATAAAAAAAATTTAAAAGACTGTCATTGGATATTGTGTTCAGCTTAATGCTTAGTTGTTCTTTCAAATGGGATATATTGATTTGATATTGTTTTAAATATACTTTATCCTCATGCTGAACATCATCCATTAAAAGTAGAAGTGCTGCTTGCTCAATAACATGTTTTGCTTTTATTATATTTTCCCCACCATTTTTGTATGGCACCATTTTTTTTTAGATCCAGCAATCTGTGTCTGAATTTGAAGATAAACTTACTGATCCAATTAAAATATGTTCTTCAGCTACAGAGACGTACAAAGTTCTCCAAGAACATATGGTAAGAGTATGTTTCAACATTTCTGCTTATTTATCCATTCAAAAAATTTGATAACTCTTACTTGAAGAAAAAGCAGAGCAAATGTTTCTCCGAGAATTGAAATTGGAAAGATTTTTATGTTAGTTGAGGAAGTAAATAGAGAAAGTGAATTCACTTCATATAACACAATAAACAGAAGCATGCAGACAAGTTTCATTAAAATCAAAAGAAGATTTATTTAAAATATATTTCTCCTTTCAATAGAACACATAATGTTTTCAGAGCGTAGTTCAATAAACTTTTACTTCTTTACACCTTTATAAAAGTTAAATGTACAAGAAAAAATGTGCACTGCAAATTTCAGATTTTGACCTGCTACATTGAAATATTCAAAGTTTATAATAGAAGTTCGACAGAAAACATTCTATTTTCCCCCAATATTTAGATTTCAGAACAAATATCTAGAAACAAGTTTTTTTTTTAATATCTTGATTTTTCTCATCTGTGAAATGGAAAAGAATAAAAAATCTCTTTTGGGAAGTTGGACACTATTGATGACATCGTGCATCTGTAGCTTTTGTTCGTCAATATTATGAAGATTAAATAAGTCAGTACACATTAGTCACATTCTGAAACACCTTATGATTACCATGGGGTTTTGACAGCAGCTGTATCAGCCATTAATTTTTCCATATATTTTTGTAGAACTATACTTTGAGTCATGTAGCTTTTGTAAATTAAGAAGAGAGTTTTTAAATATTCCTACATTTTGCATAGGATAAATACTTCTTCACAAATTATCTGAATTGTTAAGGGAAAGTAGAAACTTCAGAACTGCAGCAGGACATTATTATTTGGGGAAAACCTCCCATCTCATTGTTTATTTCCACATCCATGTATAACTTTCCCTTCATATGCTCTCTATCTTGCTGTAAAACATAGCAGAGAGATTTTGGGCACCATTAATGTTTATTGTAACTAAGGGAAAACGTTTTGTGACACTGGGTGTCAAAGGAAAACACAGTCTCCACATTCACTCATGTGCTTCTGTTGGAGGGTTATCCCCTCACCTCTGGGCTGACTCTCTACATTTCAGTTACCTGTGATCAACTTCAGATCAAACACATTTAATGGAAAATTCCTTTTTTTTTAATATATATCATTTGTATTGACTCCTTCCTTTTCATCGATGCCTATTAGTCTCACATTGTTCATTTTTACATCATCTTGCAGGTATTGAATTATTTTTTCCTGCATCCTAGTTGTTTTTAAGAGATCTTTTCTTACTTTTTCATTAGCTGCAATGGTGTCTTTCAGGTCAGAAAGTCTATTTTCACTTTCACGCAAACGGTTTTGCCAGCTTGTGACTGAGGTTTTAATTTCCTGTATATCACTTTGAACCTGTTTCATAGATTCTATTTCTTTCCTAAATTGTTTATTCAGGGGTTCCATCATTTTTATATTCTCCTCTATTTTTTTATCAGTGTATTCTTTAGAAACACTTAGTACTTCTTTGATTATAGTTACCACTACATTTTTTAGTTCAGAAATTCTTTCTGATCTGATTTCTTCTATACCTTTCTGTAGTTGATTCTTTCCTGTCAATGCTATTATTTCAGAGATATCTGGCATGTGATTTTCAGTCTCCTCAGTGCTAGTGTCTTCTGCATTTGTACTGGGTGGACTCGGGGCCTGAGACTGCATTTTATTCCTTCTCTTTGTCATTTTGTATACCGCTGTCTTCTGACCTTTGGTGTAGAGCTTAGATAGAGTTATTACCTTAGCACCAGGTACGGATCTATGAAGTTCAGATTCTTCCAGGTGGGTGTTGTTTGGATCTGGCTGCTGTGCTCCATTTCTTTCTGCTGCAGGCGTTAGAGTTGAACCCTTTGTGTCTCTCTGGGAAGATGTTCTGCTCCTGAATCAGCTGGGTGGGTCTTGCCTCTAGCCTCTTTGCAGGGAGTTCTGCTGAAGGGTTCCCTGCTGGGCCTGCAGCCTGGGTCAAATGAGGATCCGCCGGCCCGGGTCGTCTCACTCACTCGCGGGCCTGCACTCTGGGTCTGTTCAGGATCCCGCGGCATGGGTCGTCTCACCCACTTGCCGGGCCTGTGCTCAAAATTCCTTAAGTTTAAGTTATTCATAAATTTTACTATAGCACATTGTTATAATTGTTCAGTTTTGGAACTGGTCATTGTTCATAATTGAGCCCTATCCAAATACATGTGTATAGGAATCCTAGGATTATTAGTAGGGTCAAGTACGACATGTGACATCACGCATCTACAGATCTTCTTGGAGCATATCTCCAGAAAAATGAGCGGCACTGCCCTATTCCTTTTGTCATCTCCTTAGGATCTCTGTCAGGCCGTGGGGTCTCTGAGCAGCACAGTCACTGCCTTTTCAGCCAGTGCCCGGAAGGTGGTCAACAGAGACTCCTACCCCCAGGAGGCCGCAGCTCTTCAACAGCAATATGAGGGAACACTCCAGAAGGTGAAAGACAGACAGACCTTCCTGGAAAACCTGCTGGCCCACTGGCAGAGGTGAGCAGTGGGTTCTCCTGAGTACTCCCACCACAGAATAGGAAATTCTGAGGAAATATTCTTTAAGCAACAGGAAATAATCATCCCAGATGCAAAGTATGTGATTTTATGTCCACACCAGGAAGATCATAATCTTTGCTGTTAGATGTAGATCCCTGAAAATAGAAAAGATGTAACTGTTTTTTCACATGTTACACAGATGTGCAAGGACAAGGGCATGCATGAAAATGAAGGAATTTTGTATCTTCATATCTAGGAATGACTCCACCAGTACTGGATGATTTATAATGGCTCCTGCTGGACTTCCCAACAAGATGAAAGGTTTCGTAATGATTTTGAATAAAATTATTCTTTGTCTCTGCTTTCTTTAGGCTAGAAAAAGAACTGTCATCCTTTTCTACCTGGTTAGAGCGGTGTGAAGCTATAGCCAGTTCCCCAGAGAGGGACATTTCTGCAGACAGAGTCAAAGTGGAAGGTGAACTTCAACTGATACAGGCAAGTTCCAGGAGATGTGAGCAAGGACAGTGAAAGGCTTTTGCCATGGCGTGCCTATCTGTAACATCAATAAAATGCATCTCATCTCGCTGCCTGAAACTTCTTGCTTTGGTTTGGGAATCCCTGAACCATCGCTGAGGTCCCAGTTTGAATCTTGAGAAGGCAATCTTGACCTGAGAGACAAAGCAATGATGAGCACTTCCTGATGATCTGCCTCTGTGGTGTGTTAGGAGGGCTTGTAGCCCTGGCTGGCATTCGAGTGAAATGGACTGACTTGGCAGGCGAGTGGGGAGAAGGATGAGCAGAAACACAGAGGAAATGGGGTTGGGACTTCTGCACTTTTATCATCTTTTTTGTTTTGGTAACACAAAAGATTGGTTGGTTGATTGATTGATTGATTGATTGATTGATTGCAGTGCTGGGGCTCAAATGCAGGGCCTTAAGCACGCAAACACTCTACCAGTGAGCCACATTCCCAGCCAATTAAAGAATATTTTTAGGAGGAAAAAGGTGCAATGTAGAAAGAAATAAAAAATAGTAGCCTTTTTCAAGCAACATGAAAAGCGAATTAGCACCACCATAGATGAAGGTAGACAAAGATTACTAGTTTATTACACCCTTGAAGAAGCAAAGTTTTAGAGAAAAAATAATAATTAGGTATTCCTGAAGCTGCAGAGGAATGGTAACTGATTTCCAGAAATTAATAACTTGCTTGAAGTGATTCTACTGTGCAAGAAAATTGAATAGGTGAAATGACTTCTTAAATGATGTTTATTGTGTTCCAGATTTACATCAACTTTTGTAATAGCTTTAAGAAAAAACTGAGGTCTTTTAGTTTTTGTAATTGCTTTTCTTAAAACTCTAGCAGAGGCATCTGTAGCCCCATCTTCGATTTTCTCCAGCTTGGACACTGAGAGCGTCCATACCCCTGGTTGTCCTGCCTTTCTAGTTTATTTAACATGGATTCTGCATTCATCGTCTAAAAAGCTCCCTTTCCAAAATCTACTGTGACTGCTGGAGTATACACTGCGCTACATCTCCAGCCCTTTTTATTTTAGGACAGGCTTTTGCTAAGTTTCCTAGGTGGACCTCAAACTTCTGACCCTTCTGCCTCAGCTCCCCACCCCAGGCCCTGGGATTGCAAGTGTGTATCACCCGTGGATCCCATTCACTCTGTTTCTTCCCTTCTTAAAAACACATGCAAAGTGGCCCAAGAGAGAAAGTCACAGCTCCTTTCCTTAAAAATAACAAAGCACATACACATCAACATCTATGCTATTAAAAAAAAAAACCTCTTCATACATTGGGCCAGAGAGATGGCCCAGTAGAATAAACGCTTGCCTGGCACATGCAAGGGTCTGAGTTCAAGCCCTGGTTCCACAAAAAAAAAAAAAGCTACAGGACACTGTCACTCCCCACATCCAAACAGGACCACACTGCACCTATGCTGAGGGCTGGCCATAGTGTGAACTCACCCATCTTCTTGTGCATCTTTGCTGTGCTCTGCTCGGTTTTGGGTCTTCCCTGACTTTTACTGGCTTGGAACTATTTCCTCTGATACCTTTAGAGATTTATTTGTGTCACACCTACCCCTCACTAGCTAGGAAAGAGAGCATTTGGACAAGGATCTACTGTCTGCCATCTCTCTTCTGTCATCTCACTTAACACTGCCTTATGTTGTTGCTTATGTGTTTCAGTTTTTGTATTTATCTTCTATTTGATGGAAACCACATTTCTATGCACCTTCACAGCACCTAAGTGATTCAGGGCCTAATTCAATTTAAAAACTAAGTATTTCTGTTACGCTTGTGTAAAATCAAGAGCTCTTGGGTTTCTAGTTTGACCAAATAAAATCTCTAAACTAACAGGATCATTATGTTTCTGGAATCTAGAATCCCATCTCAGTCATTTTTAGATACACATTGATTCTAGTCTATAGTTTTGTAGTTTTTTCAGTTCTTTTCACCTATACACTTTCTTCATCCTGAAAATAATTAACCACTTCTAAATGTACCTAACTTATAGAAAACCTAGTCAGTCTTCCATAGCATTTTATATATTGCATTAAAAACGAGGTGTACATAGATGAAAGCATCCAAGTCAGCTGCAGTTACTGTGAAGGCTTTGTTCTTTGTTCCTTGTGTTTTTCTTTTCTGTAATATGAATTTATTTTTTAAATAAAGATTATTTTTTTAAACTCATAAAAGAAAAGTTAAGCAGATTCATTTCTACATTGAGTCATGCAAAGTCTTTTGGCCAATGAGTTCTATTTTGCAAGACTGTTGAAGAGCAGCCCCTGCTTTCCCCAACCTGACCCTTCAGTCGCATTGGCTGAGCTCTGTGCTGTATTCTGCTTCCCTTAGGCCCTGCAGAACGAAGTTGTTTCCCAGGCCTCCTCGTACAGCAACCTCTTGCAGTTGAAGGAATCACTCTTCTCAGTTGCCTCCAAAGATGACATGAAAATGATGAAGTTGCATCTGGAGCAGCTGGATGAGAGATGGAGCGACTTGCCGCAGATCATTAGCAAAAGGTTGGTTCTGGAGAATCTTCTAGTACTGTTTCCTTTTAAAGGGTGAGTATACAGAGGAAGAAAGAATAGGTTTGTTTATTTTTATTTAACTCAGTTTTTCAGGGGATAACTACAGAGAAAAACTACTTTATTTGTCATTTTTAAGATTGAGGTCCTCAAAAATGAGCCAATTATTCTCAATTCAGCTCTTTAGCTTTACACCTAGGCCAAGTGATTAAAGCAATTGAGATATTAAAAAATGCAGAGTTGCTAGCTAATGTTTGGAGAATTTTACTACCTGAGCTGTTTGTGTACAGGAGAATAATGGCAACTAAAATTTTGCTTCACATGACATTTACCAACTAGAAGCATTTAACAAACACCAGCTATTTCACTTCATTCCAAGATACTTCTTGGAGGGGACGAGCGAAATTATCTTTTTTTTTTTTTTTTTCAGACTATAAAAACTTCTTTAATCAAGGCTTTAACATTGAACAGATTTCTCAAATAAAATGGAAATGCAAATCCATAAATCACCATAAAGTACACGTAATACCCAGCAGGAAAACACAAAACAGCAAGCTTACACAATCCCCTAAAAGCCACGGTCTGCTTCTCAGATGCTTCTTCCACCTGTCTGGTGTGTTC